TTTTGGTTTTTCTCGACCCAATCCTCAACCATTCACAATTGCTCCGCATACTTCCTTATAGTCACGTGATTAAATGGAATGAAACATGGAAAGATGGCGGAATTCCAGTGGAATAGTAATTCATAGAGATGTCTTAGTAAGATTTTATTTTCATTCCTTTTGAACTTTTCAAATCGTTCAGTCATGCAGAAGAACGTGAAAACAAAGAACGTGTTCCTATCTGGTGCTTTACAAAGAATTCTACTCGATAAAGAAACAAAAAAGTCTCATCATTCACAACTAAAGAAAGCTTGCGAAACGGCTTTAGGTATAAATCCATAAGTAATGATTGTAGTTATTGCTGATGTATTTAGATTCTACTTGCTCTATGTTTTTATGCATTGTCAACCAGTTTCTGCATTCGCTATCAACAAAACATTAAGTGTAGTAATCCCTCATTCAGGATGTCAACGAACGCTGTCGATAGTATCTTTAAAATTGCTCAATGTATGATTTGTACTTTTTTATACGTGACAAACAGTTATTTTTTAGTGTCAATCGCTTTTTCATGTTCTTCTGTTTGAGTTATATGTATATATGTTTCTGGAGAAATGTATGTCAACGTGTGCAATGAATATAATGTACTGCTGTGTTCAGGAATGTTGCTTTACAAAATGATCGCTTTATGATTTTGATCTATTCTAGAGGAAATAAACGCTGTTCAAGGAAATGAAAAATCTACAGGGTAAGTTTAATTATGTAAAGTTGTCCAATTTTCTTTCCAACTTTCCAATTTTAACATGACCAAAATGAGTTATTAACCTTGAATCTTAATTATTTCACAGTTATATCCAGACTACGCATGCGCACAGATTTGCTAAGTTTTATTGTTCAAAAGTTAGATTTATAAACCAGAATGTTGGTTTGATTTATTTATAATAAAATCTTCAGGAATGTTTCTTCTGCAACTCTACCTCCACTACCTGGTCAGCAAACATTCATTACAGCAGATCAATATTTTCTTCCTTTTGAGTTGGCTTGTCAAACAAAATGTGCCAGGATTGTCACCATTGCACTTGACTGTATACAAGTAAGTTGAATTTTTTTGATGTGTTAGGACACTTGGAGTCTTTAGTTGTAAGAAATAGATATAATATTGTAAACTCTTTCATCGCATTGTTATTAAGTTATTGCAATTTGATAGCACAAAATTAGTTCCTGCGGTATTTTCTTTTGTTAGTTACCTCCTAAATTTCTCCTAGAAATTGTCAATATTGCTATCCTTATGTATCAACAGTACTCATCCCCAAGCCTCACAACTTCACTTGTGTCTTTTCACCACCATTTTGTATTCCTTCACAAATCTAGGTCATGTATTTTGCTTCTATAAATTGGAGTATTTCAAACATTCTTTTTTTATAGAAACTCATTGCTTATGGTCATATTGTTGGCGATACACCAGACTCCATTGAACCAGAGAGGCGTTTAATTGACAGAATTATCGAGACTATTTGTACTTGCTTTACCAGTATAAATACTGATGTAAATGTTCAAATACAAATTATAAAGGTATTTATAAAAAGTAATGTCAAACTGTTAAAGTATTTAATGAGAGAAATGATATATCCTTGAGGAATTTAAAGAGGGTAATGACATATGTATCCCTATGTTTTTTACATTTTATGTGCCATGAGTTTTTTAAATATCACATTGAATAATTGGATTCCAACAAGATTTAAAAAGTCTATGTGTTAACTGTGAACAGTTGAAAATGATCTTATTTTTATAATGTGTATATTTTTATTATCTATATTTACAGGCTCTTCTAACAGCTGTTACATCAAGTACTTGTGAAGTTCATGAAGGAACTTTACTTCAAGCAGTTAGAACAGTTTACAACATTTGCCTTGCCAGTAAAAGTCTTATTAGTCAAACAACAGCAAAGGCAACACTGACCAAATGATAAGTCTTGTGTTTCAGAGAATGGAAAGTCAAGCTGTAAGTTTTGTTTTGATGAACATAATATTTTGTATCATATTGTACATCAATAGACATGTCAATGTTGATAATATTGTATCATATTGTACATCAATAGAGATGTCAATGTTGATAATATTGTATCATATTGTACATCAATAGACATGTCAATGTTGATAATATTGTATCATATTGTACATCAATAGACATGTCAATGTTGATAATATTGTATCATATTGTACATCAATAGACATGTCAATGTTGATAATATTGTATCATATTGTACATCAATAGACATGTCAATGTTGATAATATTGTATCATATTGTACATCAATAGACATGTCAATGTTGATAATATTGTATCATATTGTACATCAATAGACATGTCAATGTTGATAATATATCATATTGTACATCAATAGAGATGTCAATGTTGATAATATTGTATCATATTGTACATCAATAGACATGTCAATGTTGATAATATTGTATCATATTGTACATCAATAGACATGTCAATGTTGATAATATTGCATCATATTGTACATCAATAGACATGTCAATGTTGATAATATTGTATCATATTGTACATCAATAGACATGTCAATGTTGATAATATTGTATCATATTGTACATCAATAGACATGTCAATGTTGATAATATTGTATCATATTGTACATCAATAGACATGTCAATGTTGATAATATTGTAACATATTGTACATCAATAGACATGTCAATGTTGATAATATTGTACCATATTGTACGTCAATAGACATGTCAATGTTGATCATATTGTACATCAATAGACATGTCAATGTTGATAATATTGTATCATATTGTACATCAATAGACATGTCAATGTTGATAATATTGTATCATATTGTACATCAATAGACATGTCAATGTTGATAATATTGTATCATATTGTACATCAATAGACATGTCGATGTTGATTATATTATATCATATTGTACATCAATAGACATGTCAATGTTGATAACATTGTATCATATTGTACATCAATAGACATGTCAATGTTGATAATATTGTATCATATTGTACATCAATAGACATGTCAATGTTGATAATATTGTATCATATTGTACATCAATAGACATGTCAATGTTGATAATATTGTATCATATTGTACATCAATAGACATGTCAATGTTGATAATATTGTATCATATTGTACATCAATAGACATGTCAATGTTGATAATATTGTATCATATTGTACATCAATAGACATGCCAATAATATTGTATCATATTGTACATCAATAGACATGTCAATGTTGATAATATTGTATCATATTGTACATCAATAGACATGTCAATGTTGATAATATTGTATCATATTGTACATCAATAGACATGTCAATGTTGATAATATTGTATCATATTGTACATCAATAGACATGTCAATGTTGATAATATTGTATCATATTGTACATCAATAGACATGTCAATGTTGATAATATTGTATCATATTGTACATCAATAGACATGTCAATGTTGATAATATTGTATCATATTGTACATCAATAGACATGTCAATGTTGATAATATTGTATCATATTGTACATCAATAGACATGTCAATGTTGATAATATTGTATCATATTGTACATCAATAGACATGTCAATGTTGATAATATTGTATCATATTGTACATCAATAGACATGTCAGTGTTGATAATATTGTATCATATTGTACATCAATAGACATGTCAATGTTGATAATATTGTATCATATTGTACATCAATAGACATGTCAATGTTGATAATATTGTATCATATTGTACATCAATAGACATGTCAATGTTGATAATATTGTATCATATTGTACATCAATATGTCAATGTTGATAATATTGTATCATATTGTACATCAATAGACATGTCAATGTTGATAATATTGTATCATATTGTACATCAATAGACATGTCAATGTTGATAATATTGTATCATATTGTACATCAATAGACATGTCAATGTTGATAATATTGTATCATATTGTACATCAATAGACATGTCAATGTTGATAATATTGTATCATATTGTACATCAATAGACATGTCAATGTTGATAATATTGTATCATATTGTACATCAATAGACATGTCAATGTTGATAATATTGTATCATATTGTACATCAATAGACATGTCAATGTTGATAATATTGTATCATATTGTACATCAATAGACATGTCAATGTTGATAATATTGTATCATATTGTACATCAATAGACATGTCAATGATAATATTGTATCATATTGTACATCAATAGACATGTCAATGTTGATAATATTGTATCATATTGTACATCAATAGACATGTCAATGTTGATAATATTGTATCATATTGTACATCAATAGACATGTCAGTGTTGATAATATTGTATCATATTGTACATCAATAGACATGTCAATGTTGATAATATTGTATCATATTGTACATCAATAGACATGTCAATGTTGATAATATTGTATCATATTGTACATCAATAGACATGTCAATGTTGATAATATTGTATCATATTGTACATCAATAGACATGTCAATGTTGATATTGTATCATATTGTACATCAATAGACATGTCAATGTTGATAATATTGTATCATATTGTACATCAATAGACATTTCAATGTTGATAATATTGTATCATATTGTACATCAATAGACATGTCATGTTGATTGATCATATTGTACATCAATAGACATGTCAATGTTGATAATATTGTATCATATTGTACATCAATAGACATGTCAATGTTGATAATATTGTATCATATTGTACATCAATAGACATGTCAATGTGATAATATTGTATCATATTGTACATCAATAGACATGTCAATGTTGATAATATTGTATCATATTGTACATCAATAGACATGTCAATGTTGATAATATTGTATCATATTGTACATCAATAGACATGTCAATGTTGATAATATTGTATCATATTGTACATCAATAGAGATGTCAATGTTCATAATATTGCATCATATTGTATATCAATAGACTGAAAATGAAATGAAGAAAAGGATGATAGCAATAATTTTAAATCAGAAGAAATCAGCAAAAAGGAGGAGAAAACTGACATCAATCCTTTACCAAATGGTGAAATCCATCATGGCGATGATAAAGTTGAAGGTGTGAACGGTAAGAAAGAAATTCTACTTGTTTTGGAAATTTGAACCTCCCCCCTGAAATTGTCTGAGAAGATAATCAACCACCCTGTGCAAAAAAAAATTGTCTACGTATTTCTTTTGTTTTCAAAAACCGGCTTTACGACGATATTGCTGACCAATCCTTATTTTTCAATATTTTTGATGGCTTTCATTTACAGATAGCGAAGTCTCCGTTTCTTCCACGGAAGTTAAAGATAAGGATGTTAATGATACAGTTATCATGAATGAAGAATCAATGGTTGAAGAGAAGAGTGTAAAAGATGTTGTTGATGGTGTCAGTGATGCTGTGAACGATGACACAAAACAAGATTTAGTCGAAACAACAGTTGACACTAATGTCTCGGAGTCTGTTGATAAAGAACAGCATTTAAATGACTCAGACGCGTTGAACAATGCTGCTGTAGATGACTTGCCTTCTAAGACTTTTTCAAATGACAATACAAAAGACAATATAGGTGAAGAAAGTGAAGAATCAGTGAAGATTGCCAAAGAAAAACATCTCGATGGAAGTTCAAATGTTAATGACGAGTCCGTTAATGGCGATTCCCCATGTGTGACCCAGGTACAAGATGTTAGTGATCCATCTGAAACCAAAGTAATCCCACCAAATAGCGTTGATGTTGATTCAGAAGCAAAGACAAATAACTCGACAACTGGCGAAGTTTCAGAGCCCAAGGAGGATGATGGGAATGAAACTGCACGAAGTTCCGTCTCCGAGTCTCAGTCTGATATGCCCAGCGAGACGTCAAGTGAAGGCAAGCCACCTCAACAAATATTTTCTCATATCACCCAGAAGGATGCATTCTTAGTGTTTAGGTCCTTGTGTAAACTATCAATGAAACCGCTTGCGGAAGGACCGTTGGATCCCAAGTAAGTTAGCTACAGTTTTTTGAGATGTATGTTGATAATGTATGAAACTCTCATTGATCATAAGTCACTTCAAAAAAGTGGTTTGTGCTAATTTATATTGTACTATCAGTTCATGTCATCATGAATATCTTTACTACAGAAACTTTGACTTTTTTTTGATTCTAAGATACATGTATCAAACTGCTCGTTTATATCTTCTTTATCCAATATTACTTCAGAAGGAAACCTAAATCAAACAAACTTTATTTATACTATAGATATCTCTAACTAAGATCATAACTGTTCTTAAAGATCATGCAGTAAAGGTCATCTCTTATTGATATAACTTTATGTACTACATAAACAAATTGAACTCAACTAAATTGACCTGACATATAAAAGAAAGCTCTATCAGTACTTTTTTAAAGTAAGATTTTAGCATTAGCTTTTAAGATTTACTCGCGATAAAAAACCTTTCATTATTTTCAGATCGCATGAGCTCAGATCTAAAATTCTCTCACTGGAGTTGCTGTTAACTTGTCTACAAAGTGCCGGACCTGTTTTCCGTACTCATCCAATGTTTATCAACGCTATAAAACAATATTTATGCGTCGCATTATCAAAGAATGGCGTCTCATCTGTTCCTGCTGTGTTTGAACTATCGTTGGCAATCTTAAATTATAAAATAAACACAATGAAACGCGTGCGTTGATTGTTCTAGAGCTGAGTTTGCATTAGCCAGTGCAAAGTACATCTGAGCTCAACCAATCAAATCAATCGAAACAATAAATCAGTCAAAGAGAATTTGCAAATTGATCATGAATACATTTTAGAGAAAAAATGGAAGCGTTTGTCTTTTTCACATTATTGTTAATGAATAAAAGAAATAAAAGATGTTTTCGTGTTTCCACTGCCTTATGCAAACCTTGGAGAGGTTTGTGAGAACCTCGAGCACGTGCAACCCTCGACCTTTGGTCTCGGGCTTGCACTGATCATCTCTTATGTTCTCCCAAATGTCTCCTCGGTTTGCATAATCCTGTGCAAACACAGTAAACATCTTTTATTTCTTAATTGAAACATTGAAACGTTTTATAACAACGTGCAATGCACGAGATAGTTTGTAAATGTTTGTTTTGACGTCAAACTCAAACTAAGATTTTACGGATAATAATGTAGCACAGTTCTCATCCTTTGGATCAAAATTTTTAAAAAGAATTACATAATATATAATATAAATATATTTAATTTTTCAAGTGTTTTTTATCAGAAATCACCCGTAACTTGTTTACTAAATGTATGGAATTAAAGTGCTTTTACATGCTTAAACTGCGAAATTTGTCGGTGTTAAAAATAACCAGGAATTTTTTATTATAGCTGTGTGCCGTCGTTTTTTTATATATTCACCCTTCCATGAGCGAAACTAGAACGTTAATTTGGGGTATATATTCATATGTTCAGCTTTGCCCTGCTGATTTCTTTTGTTTGCGATGTTAATTTCAACAGAAGTCAGCAGGGCAGAGCTGAATATATGAATATTTACCCCCCGCCTCCAATTACGTTCTAGTTTTGCTCCTGACGCTATCAGTATGTTATTTGAGAACTTAAATGTCGTTGTTAAGAAATCATCGTAAAAACGAGAAAATTGATTTTATTTTTATGCCTTACTACAATACAACATATCTACATGCACTTTATCATTTAAATAAAGCAAACATGTTGGAATATTTAGACAAAAAATACATTTAATTGAGTAATTGTATATCGTTTATGATTAAGTTGAAAACAGCAAAAACCATTCATTTTATTGTGAATTTGCATTCTGAAATGAATGACTAAAGTATATAACCTACGATGTTCACTTTTGATTTTATTTTAATATCTTGTGTTATGTTTACATACTACGAGGCTGTGGCTTAAAGCAAGATCAATCAATGGCTTAGTCATCCTACTAGTTATGGTATTGCATAATGTATTGTGAATTTCAGACGATTTTTCTTGTTTAAAAAAATCACTTCTTTTAACACTCGCAGCGAGTGCACATAGAAAACGGACAAACCATGAGTCTGATTCTGATGGCCAAAATGAGTCGGGCTGTCAATTCTCAATTCTCATCGTCAAAATGTGGTCAAAATAAAGACGACCACAACATTTGTTATTCAGAATTTTAAAGTTTTGGTTTTTCTCGACCCAATCCTCCACCATTCACAGTTGCTCCGCATACTTTCTTATAGTCACGTGATTAAATGGAATGAAACATGGAAAGATGGCGGAATTCCAGTGGAATAGTAATTCATAGAGATGCCTTAGTAAGGTTTTATTTTCATTCCTTTTGAACTTTTTAAATCATTCAGTCATGCAGAAGAACGTGAAAACAAAGAACGTGTTCCTATCTGGTGCTTTACAAAGAATTCTTCTCGATAAAGAAACAAAAAAGTCTCATCATTCACAACTAAAGAAAGCTTGCGAAACGGCTTTAGGTATAAATCCATAAGTAATGATTGTAGTTATTGCTGATGTATTTGGATTCTATTTGCTCTATGTTTTTATGCATTTTCAACCAGTTTCTGCATTTGCTATCAACAAAACATTAAGTGTAGTAATCCCTCATTCAGGATGTCAACGAACGCTGTCGATAGTATCTTTAAAATTGCTCAATTGTTGTGGCAAACAGTTATTTTTAGTGTCAATCGCTGGTTCATATTCTTCTTGAGTTATATGGAAATAAACGCTGTTCAAGGAAATGAAAAATCTACAGGGTAAGTTTTATTATGTAAAGTTGTCCAATTTTTTTCCAATTTTTCAATTTTAACATGACCAAAATGAGTTATTAACCTTGAATCTTAATTAATTGACAGTTATATCCAGACTACGCATGCTCACAAATTTGCTAAGTTTTATTGTTCAATAGTTAGATTTATAAACGAGAATGTTGGTTTTGATTCATTTATAATAAAATCTTCTGGAATGTTTCTTCTGTAACTCTACTTCCACTACCTGGTCAGCAAGCATTCATTACAGCAGATCAATATTTTCTTCCTTTTGAGTTGGCTTGTCAAACAAAATGTGCCAGGATTGTCACCATTGCAGTTGACTGTACACAAGTAAGTTGGTTTTTTTATGTTCAAAATAAACGATTTTAAAACTGCTGCATAAAGATATTATATCTTTTCATTTTTAAATTTTAATTAGTTTTCTTAGACTGAAAAAATCATTACTGACTGATAATCACTTAATTGAAAACAAGACATCTTAGGCCCCGTCCACACGTATCCGGATTCGTTCGTTTCCGCAAATATTTTGTTGCGGTAACGCTTATCGTCCACACGCATCCAGCGAAAACGCCTACTGTAACTGCAAACTTTTGAACGGTCTCCAGATTGGAAACTTTTGAAAACGCATCAAATCCGGACATGTGAGGACATACTGTAACGGAATGATTTCAAAACGATGACGTATATCGATGAAATATAATTTCTACCTACGCACCGCTGCCCTAATCCAATCCACATTTATCATGCGTTATCCTATGCATTAAAATGGCGCCAAAGTCATTTTTTGATTTCAACTGTCCTATTTTCGAGCAATGTTGCGTTTATGCGATTTATTTTTGCCGCCTTAAATTATCTAACGTATTATGGAAAGAGGGAGAGCAGTTTTGATACGGCTCATTTCAATGCCAGTTGTCAGAAATGTGTCCTTAAACATTTTTGTTATTTTATATTCTAAAACGGATCTCAGTAAAAGATCCCCTTCATCATATGTTTACATAAAAGCTTCATTCTTACAACTTTTTTTTTAATATCTTGATGCACTAGCTTTGTCGGATATTTCGACATTTTATAGCCAGTTCATTATTTGTATTAGCTCATGCTCTGTAAGTAATAATTGGGTATTTGTATCGTTTTCGCGGCTACGTGTGGACACACAAAAACGCATCAAATTTGCATACATGTGGACGCGTAAAGTTTTGAATCCGGAACAAAATGTTTGCAGGTACAAATGAGTCTGGATACGTGTAGACAGGACCTTGAATTCACTAACATAAATAATCCTTTGTGTCTTTGACTGTGTTCTAAGACGGTTAGAGCTTAATCACTTGTGTCCTATGGGATAAAGAGACCCTCACATTAAATAGAATTCACTCTATTTAATCCTTGGGACTCTTAATCTCATAGAACACACGTGATTATGCTCTAACCCTTACCACAATGTAAGAATATACAGAAGAGTCACTCGTGTCGGAACCTTTGATGATTTTGTCCTCGCGCATGTCGTGTCGCGCATGGTGGCCGTCATAATTCCAGCCAGATGATTATGGTTTTTGACTTTTTCCAAACCTTTAAATTGATCCGAAGTTATTTCTTACGTCAAAACATACTTGAATTCATTATTCAGTATTGACGTCAGTTAATTTCAATGGTTGGAAACAAGTGAGAAATTCTAATTATCTGGCTGAAATAATGGCCGACATGAGGACGTGTTGTACACCTGGGTGACCCTTCTTTATAATCATTACTCTGTAGCATTGTGCTGTTAGTAGTCACACGAATGTAAACATTGTGAACAGATTTGGCCACATTGTGCCCAAATCTTTCAATCTTTAGTTGTCAATATAAGAGACCACGTCTTGACCACGTTCAACGCGTTTAAATATGAAAATCATTTTGAATCTTACGATTTCTTTTGCGTTTTAATGTCGTTATGCAAATTAACGATGCATGATGTTGTAGAGTAGGTTAGGATTCAGAAGACCTTAATCAATTTAGAAACTAGACTTTAATTTTGACCAAATCTTCATACAATCTTGCAGTCATATCTTGATAAGTTAAGGTTCTGAGAATGGTTTATAGGCGTTCTGATTGACGTCACCAACATCTTCAAGCCCAAAATCAATATTAGCACAGAATCATGACTATACAGAAGGGTCACTCAGGTAGCCAACGTCTCCTTACAACGGCCATTATTCCAGCTATTTGATTAGGGTTTGTTACTGGTTTCCAACCATTAAAATTACATGACATCAATACTTAATAATGAATTCGAGAATATTTTGACTTTAGAAATGACTTTGGATCATTTTGAAGGTTGGGAAAAAGTCGAAAACCCTAATCAACTGGCTGTAATAATGGCGGCTACCATGCACGGCGCAACATGCCAAAGAATAAAAACATCAAAGGTTCCGACACGAGTGAACTTCTGTATATTCTTATTCTGTGATAATATACTGTGAGAATGGTTTAAGGGCGTTCTCATTAACGTCACCAACATCTTCAAGCCAAATTTATAATATTAGCGTTATTTAATAGGCTAAATATGTTTAATTAATAAATAATTGACGTAATATCACAGAAAAATGGTCAATTGTTACTAGCATTTCATATATATTAATGTAGGGAGAGCATAGTTCTTTTGTTTGACAACAATAAGTTTTGTTTTTAAAAATTAGATTTGATAGATACCCAGTAATTTTTCAAGTACAAACAATGTATTTTAACTCTATAGAGGCCGTTGTGCTCACAGGCAACAATCACCAAACAAGATGTAAGAACTTTTGAAAAGGCACGGCTCCCAGAGGGTTAAACAATCATGGAACAAATACATATAATGACATGCTTAACACTATTTATAAAGATATCATCCACTTCAAGCCACATATAAACCACGAGGCGTCATGGAAAGTAGATGTTGTTCATATGAGATGGAACAAGACTTTGCACATTAACGAAAAGTGTAAACATTTGTGATTGTGCAATCAAAACAATATTGTTGTCTTCAACTCTCCTCGATGACAAGTTATTTGAAAGCCACGATGTACAAATATATACTATCAGTATCACATCCTAAATGTTGATACCAGCAGCAAAAATAAATTTGAGAAAAGAAAACCTCTATGAAATGTGTTACACACGTAGCTACTTGTTTCGATATCATTTATGAAAATAGATCCTACGGCTGTAAACTACAAATGTAAGTGACTATCTTGTGAAAATCTTAATTTATTGATGCTACTGATTTCTGGTTTGTTTCTTCAATGTCACATTAGTTATAACAGAACATATGCAATGAATATAAATACGCTAACTTTGCTATCTGTCTCCAATGCACTATGCGGTTGAGTGCATAGAAGTGCAGTTTTCATAGATTAAGGTGTAGACTTGCAATGAACGAGAACCGTAATTGTTTTTTTGCTCGTTTTTCTACGACTCTCTACTATATTTTTAGTAGTAGAATCTTGGGGAAAACAGAACGCCCTTAAATTCTCTCCTAACATTAAAAACATATGACTTCAAGATTCAATGAATATTTGAACAAAATTAAAGTCGAGTTTAAAAATTCATTATCGTCTCATGTATCTTACCCTACAACATCATGCATATTTGCTTTGCATAAGGACATTAAAACGCCAAAAAATTGTAGATTCTAATTAATTTTTTGTTCAAATGCATAGAAGGATTACTTATTGTCTTTGTGAAAGGTGAAAAGCTCCTAAGGGGCCCATTACAAGAAAAAATTTTCGTCATGACGTGATTAAACAAATGTTAACAACGGAAACTTAGTCACTTTAACGTTGTAGAAAGAAAGGGGAATTCTGTCTTTTTCCTGACGAATTACTGAAGTATGAGTTGCATGGAATAATCAACTAGTCTTAATGGTAAGCCTCGTAATATGAAAGCTTTCAATGTAAAATGCTTTCATAACGATGTAAAGCCTTCGATCTTTTGAAACTTGTTGCATCTTTCAAACTTAACCGACTAAAGCTATTCGTGCAATGTTGGTGAATGTTCTACCATTTGGATAGTCAAACAGAAAACATATAACAATTTGCTCATTCTCATTATATCTGATTAAGAATTGAAAAACGCAAAGTAACGTCATATATAGAGTTCTTCATCATGAAATGTCGTATATGTGTTTTACATTTTCTAGCTTATATTTTTAAACCCACATGGATGGAGTTGTGAAAGTCCCTTTACCACCTGTTTCATTCACTTTAATTACACTTACTAGTTTGTCATTACTCATGTGTCATGGTGATTCATGGCCAAAAATGTTCATTTGTAGTTTGGATTCTTTGTGGATGTCAATTGTTTGTTCATATAATGATGATGGGCCCCATTGTTATATGAGCCAACCTGAAGTTGGTCAGCTGTCATTCATAGAAGATCAAATCTACATTAAGCATTCTTTAAGTGATGATATAACTGGGGTATTGAAGTGATTCCTTTTCCTTCACTTGAAGATACCATAAGAGTGCATTGTAAGCAGTAATCTATCGAAATGGCGATTCATAATACCAGTAGCCTCTTTATTGGTTACGTCGATTACTTTGTTCAGTTCATGGAATGGTATAAACGTAATGAATGGACATTGCATAAAGGCATTTGTACGTGTGAACATTAACGTTGAAATGATTGGACTATAATCTACGAAGATGGAAAACAAGCGAGTGGAAAAACATGATCTATGTCTTGTGGTTTGTAAGTTGAGTAGATAAGTGTTAAAATTAACTTATAGCTATGAGTGACTGCATGAGATATTCAAAAATGATCCTGATGGTCTATTTTTATAATTTGAACTATAATCATGAAAAACACCTATATTAGTTAAAAAAAAGTCAATAAAAGATGTCAATTGTTGTGAGAAAATAGCTGGCTTTCAGTCGCTAATTTTACTAATTTTATTAAACGTTTATAAACAAAATTGCAATGCTGCAAGTAGGGTTCATTGAATTTTTAAGATAAAATTGTTACAATAAAATTTCTACGATATACACGTAAAAACTGCGCTGTGAAAAAAGTGAAAGAGACCTACTAAGACGCCTGGATCAGACGGACCAGGACAATGCTTGAAAATCAGGTATTAAAGTTTTGTTCTTTTTTAAAATATATAATTTCTGATTTTATTCATTCATTATGCTGACATTTATAATGTGTTTTTTTTATAGTGTAGCTATGTCTGTAGGCCTAATAACTACACATTGAATGAACGATCAAGTTGGACAGAAGCACAAAGAAACAAGCGTCCTTATTGAAAGATTCTCACTTGCGACTTTCGTTATGCATACTATTAATCAGTATAACGCATTTTTAAATTCAACCGTTAAAAATTTCCGTAAAACTAAATTTTCACAATTGTCAAATTTTCGGACAAAACACACGAGCGAAAGCCAGCTATTAATGAAGGTCTTAATAAAGCAACAGAAATTTTGATCAAATGAAATCTAGTAGACATCGAAAATAATTTGTATGCAAGTCACGACGTCACTTTGGTCATTTCATTTTTCATTGTTATTGGTTGGTGAATGATCAGGTCGAACGTACTGAATGAATTTTTCATATGATTTATGTATGAGCTGCTATTAGTTTTTATGTTTTCGTCTGTTCATTAAAAATTTTGTTAACACTCTGCGCTCTTTCATTTTTTGTTCTCTACTAAAGTTTTCGTTTCTTTTGTTCAAACACAAAATATTTGCGGTGTCAATAAATAGGGTAGTCAGCCGACTTTTTTGTCGCCGCTTTTTTTGTCGCTTTGTGAATTTAAGATACGAGCGACGAAGGTACGATCTGACTACGCTGCATGTTAAAGTAGATCATCGGGATCATTGAAAACAACAAAAATATGAAACATCTTAAAATAACAAAAATTTAAGGAAGTTTTTCTAAATTTTGATCTTTTATTTTATTCGAGGGTTTTTTACCGGATCCACCTGTTTTCCCTCCCATTTTGTTTTGTTTTGGAAAAAATAACAGTGTCCATATTTAGGGCCAAGCAAAGTCATTTATTATAACATTATTTATTATAGCTATCATTAATATTCACGTTTATTTTTTATTCCTTGGCCTTTGGGTATATTTCCCAAAACACTGCGTTTAATAAATATAATGGCATACATTTTGAAAAATAATATGTACGCAAGTTTTCTGCTCAGTCAGATATTCTAAGACAAATTTTTTCAATCTTCTGCATCAACTGACTCAGCGAGAAAATAAAGATGATTTTATACAGTATAGAAGTGTGATTTGCGTACATAATAAAAATTCCATGATCCTTTCACTTCACTAAGGAGTCTTTTTACATAAAATATTGCTTTAAACATGAGCAATGTGACGAATTTTTACATTACTCACGGTAATACGCTTAGCACAATAATATTAGCACACACCATTCGACAATTTTCTACCCTACCATGAAGTGAGATGCTTTATGCCTATACCAAATGCATTCCCAATGATATAGAGAGAAATGATATCACCAAAGATACAGAGATTAATCTTGATAGTAGATTGTTTGAGATTGAGATTTTTTAACTACAATGTTCTTCTCAGCGTCACTGCACAACTGAGACTAGCATTATCTTAATGACTATTTTCACTGCATTCTTTACTGTTGTATCGACAGTGTTCTTTCTCATAGCTAAGTAATTATAAATTCGTAAGTTACAATGGTTTATTTAATAACAAACGTTTTTTATAATATTAAGTGACTTCTGCAGTAATATACATGTATGGACTTTTTGATTAATAAAGTAAAAAAATCCGTTTACAGCTTCAAAAATCGTGTAATAACCATTGACATTTAAATCTTGCCTTAGATCAGTGATCATCTATTCCAGAGTTAACACTTGTGAAACTTTATACGATTTAGCAGTAGTCCTTTAGAATTTGACTAATCTCAATGTTATTTTGTACTCTGCATTAGGTTCTTAATTATGTATTTTTGTTTCTATAACAATTGTTTTTAGTCAGTGATGTATACTTGGTTATATAACTAGAATGTTCTACATAGATGTTATTAATGTTTTATAATACTGTTTGTTGAAGGAAATCCTGACTCGCTCTTCATCTTCGTTCGCTATTTAAAAGTGTTTATGTAACAAAACTTACATGGATAAAAGATTGATGTAACAGTAAGGTATGAATTATGATCATCATTTTTTAAACTGATATTTAAGTGGTCACGTTCTTTATATTAAATCTCTCGTCTTTGTAAGGTATGCAACATGTAAAGAACTAAAGCAAGCATGATATTTTCTACACGGTCGTCATATATGAACTCTTACTGCTAAAACGAAGGTAATTTTTCGAAAGTAAAGCGAGATTCTGAAACTATATTACTAACTTTACATAACAACTTTGCTACTGAAGCATCTTGATAATGTATGACCAAACATTCAAGAGAAATTATATTTAAGTTGATATACCAACTTTCTAACTGTTGACAATAAGCTGCATGGTAAAAGACAGTGAAACCTGTTGAAAAATATGGGGGAGGCAGAATAACATGAGAACGTTTTCTACATGTAGGACGCTGAATTTTTCTTTAAAAACTATACTTGTCGATACGAAATGGGAGATCTGTAAAAATTTATTTAGGGAGGGGCACATGTCCAATCATGCATCACCTCCCTTCTTTGCTGACGCCACTTTTGACTAACCTCTGTGTGTCCAGCAAAATGTTGTTAATTGTATTGAGCAAATTATTCATTTTAAAAGTAAGAACATTTGTAAAATAAGCAAATGTTACACACACGAAGAATGTACTTACACCGCAGTCTTAAGGTTTACTTTTATTGCATCCTTTACTGTTGTACCTACAGTGTCCTTATTGATCATAAGTAATTGTAATTGCGTGCAGTTGATGTTTGCCGTACATTCATAATTTACAATGGTTTATTCAATAAAAAAGGTTTTTTATAATAAGAACTGACTGATGCAAGAATATACATGTATGGAGATTTTGATTAATGAAGGGAAAAATCCATCCACAGTTTCGAAATTCGTGTCGTAATCATTGGCATTCAAATCCTGTTTTAGATAGGTGATTCTCTATTCCTGAGTTAAAACTAGTGAAACTTTATAAGATTTAGCAGTAGTCCTTTGCAATTTGACTAATCTCAATGTTATAATGTATTCTGCATGAGGTTTTTATTTATATATTTTTATTTCAATAACAATTGTTTTTAGTCAGTGATGTATACTTAGTTATATAACTAGAATGTTCTACATAGATATCATTAATGTTTTATAATACTGTTTTTTGAGGGAGAACCTGACTCACTCTTCATCTTTGTTCGTTATTGAAATGTGTTTATGTAACAAAACTTACATGGATAAAAAATTGATGTTACAATAAGATTCGAACTATGATTACCATTTTTAAACTGATATGTATGTGGTCGCGTTTTTTTTATTAAATCTCTTATTTTTTGTTAGGTTTGTGAAATGTAAAGAACTAAAAGAAGCATAATTTTGTCCACGAGGTCGTCATATATGAAGTCTTATTTCTAAAACAAAGGTAATTTTACAAAAAGTAAATCGAAATTTTATATCTATATTACCGACTTAACAACTTAGCTAAAGAAACATCTAGATGAAGTGTGTATAAACATGCATGAGAAATCATATCTAAGTTGATATACCAATTTTATAATTATTAACAATAAGCTGGATGTTAAAGGAATGGTAAAACCTTTTCAAAAGTATGGGAAAAAGCAGAATAACTTAAGAATATTTTCTATATATGATGCTGCCTTTTTCTTTATAAACTGTAAATGACACTAGTGCCAGTCCCCAAGAATCGAAACAATATTGTTGTTAATGTAAACTTACGAACGCGTAATCTATTATTACTTCTAACTCTTTATCGAAAATATACGAATCATTGCGATCTGGATATAAACGGGAACAATCGGTAATGATACTTTACTTATATTCTGTTGTTTTGTTTGTTGTTTATTCATTTCCTATCTAATTCTAAGTACATTTTCTGTATGTATCTAGTTGACATCTACTATCAATAATACCAAACGTTGCGTGCGGCTGCCAGAACTTTTATGCTGCAGGAGTTATACAAACTATACTTGTCTGTAGAAAAATGGGATTACGTGAAAATTTATGTAGAAGGGGAGGAAGATGTCCAATTATGCATCACCTCCCTTCTTTGCCGACGCCACTTTTGACTAAACTCTGTGTGTCTTGAAAAAGGTTGATAATTGTATTGAACAAATCATTTATTTTGAAAGTAAGGAAATTAGTAAAATAAGCAAATGTTAAACTGAAGAAGAATGTATTTACACAGAGGAAGAACGCGACTGAATCTATTTTTTGTGAAATGTTGATTCATACAACAAAATGAGCTTTCACAATTTTGCTTATGATCATGTTTGTTTAACAGTTTTAATGTTTACTTCAATTATGTCGAAAATACATTTTCTGTATGTATCTAGTTGACATCTACTATCAATAATACTAAATGTTGCGTGCAGGTGCAAGAACTTTTATGCTGCGGGAGTTATACAAACTATACTTGTCTATAGAAAAAATGGGAATACGTGAAAATTTATGTAGAGGGAGACATGTCCAATTCGAAAATTAAACGAGACTTACCTGAAGTCGAAGTTTATTGAAATTCTATGAGTTACTGTTTAGGAACTAGGAAGTCATGTGAGATAGAGCGCGCGATATCAAGATCAGTTTTTAAAAAATTTGTGAATGTCTTTATAAATATTGGGAAGCAAGTAATATTTAACATCATTTGAAAAGAAGTAAGTTAGTAGTTGGGTGGGTGACTTCCTAGTTCCTGAACAGTAACTCATAGAATTTCAATCAAACTTCGACTTCAGGTAAGTCTCGTTTAATTTTCTAATTCTATTTCGTCACTGTTCTACGTAACTAGGAGATTTTAAAGCAATGTGGACATGAGCAATAACTAATAACAAAATAATATAATTGAAATTTCACATTTCATGTCTCACAAATGGCAGAAAGTAGATCAATGCCAAAGTTCTTCACCTCAATTGTTTTATTATAAAATGTTTGAAAAGTTTTTTCATTACGCCATGTAGCTGCATTCATAATAGAGTCCATAGAAATATTCAATGCGTTTGCCGCAGAAGTTGATGCAGTTCTAGTACTGTGTGTACTGTAAACCTCTGTATTTATACCAGCATCTTTTAACACGTATTTTAACCATCGGGAAATGGTCGCTGAAGTGACCGAATGATAAGGTTTTTGATAGCTCAATAGGAGTTGTCTTGCACCATTTCATATGGGTGCATTGGAATTTAGAAATAGGGACAAGTAATTAAATACACATAACCCAGGCTCTGGTGGATAAAACCAAAACTCTAAAGGAGCAGCATGCTTAACAGGTTTAGATGTTTTGAGCAGGTGGTGCACATGAAAAACTATTCGATCTTCTTTCTTGTCCATACGAAAAATATCCAATGCATGAAGTGTTTGGCATCGCTAACCAGATAATAAAGCTAAAAGCATTACTGTTTTTAGTGTTAATGATTTCAAACTGAGATTTTTCGGAGGGTGGAGATTTCGAAGATGTTTGAATACCACTGAAACGTCTCAGACCATGGCATATTTAGGAAGAGCTGGTCTTGCAACAAATACACCTTTAACAAACCTAGCAACGAGTGGATGTGTACCAAACGAGATGCCACTTGGCAGCATTAGGATAGTAGATAATGCGCTCCTTGCAGTATTAATGCCGCTGTAGGATAAACCTTCCTGGTATAATTTTGTAAGAAAATTAATGCCCTTTTCTACAGAGGACGCGACAAGATCGATATTGTTTGCGTTGCAATATTGTCGCCAACGGTTAAGGTATGTAGAATATTGCTTCTTGGTAAGATTGCTGGATGATTTGAGAAGCCTCTGGTGAAATGCCTCTATCAGCGAGGAGTTCCCCGATAAATGGCAAGGTAGTAGCTCCCGTTTTTTATGGAGAAGGTGGATTTGATCGGGATGAGCTGGAAGAGTTAAGGTCATTCTTTCTCTAGGTAAAACAACAGGATGTGCTATTAGCATCTGCATTAAAGCTGGCCACCAACTTTGTGTTGGCCAGGTAGGGACTAAGACTAGTCCTGTGCTTTTCTCTTGTACTATTTTTTGTTACACTTGTAAAATTATGCTAAAATGCGGGAACGCATAAAATGTATAATTGGCCCACGATATCATAAAGGCGTTGACATATATAGCATACGGGTCAGGTTGGTATGAAACATAGGGCTTCACTTGATTATTCAACCTTGACACAAACAAATCAATGTTCGGAGTTACGTCTAGTTTTTGAATGGCGCACGTAAACAGAGTCAAGTTCAACTGCCATTTTGTTTCTCTGCGTGATATTTGAGATTCTCCATCCGCAGTGATATTTTGTATCCTGGAATGTGCGATGCTGTCAACCAAATATCATACGAAATGCAGCAGGTCCAAACATTGCATGTCAACTTGTGAATAGACCTTGAGTGGCATGTGCCCATTTGATGATCTCATTGCCAAAGTTCTTCGCCTCAATTAGCATATTATAAAATGATTGATGATAATGAAGTTTGTTCATTACGCCATGTAGCTGCATTCATAATAGTGTCCATAGAAATATTCAATGCGTTTGCCGCTAAAGTTGATGCAGTTCTAGTACTGTGTGCACTGCAAACCTCTGTATTTATACCACCTTCTTTTAACACGTATTTTAACCATCGGGACATGGTCGCTGAAGTGACCAAATGATAAGTTTTATAATAGCTCAATAGGAGTTGTCTTGCATCATTTCGTATGGGTGCAGTGAAATTTAGAAATAGGGACAGGTAATTAAATACACATAACTCAGGCTCTGGTGAATAAGACCGAAATTCTAAAGAAGCAGCATGCTTACCAGGCTTGAATGTTTTGAGCAGTTGGTGCACATGAAAAACTATTGGATCTTTTTTCTTCTCCATATGAGAAATATCCAATGCATGAAGTGCTTGGCATCGCTGACCAGACAATAAAGCTAAAACATTACTGTTTTTAGTGTTGACGATTTCAAACTGAAATCTTTTGGAGGGTGGAGATTTAGAAAATGTTTGAATACAACTGAAACGTCTCAGACCATGGCATATCTAGGAAAAGCTAGTCTTGCAACAAATACACCTTTAACAAACCTAGCAACGAGTGGATGTGTACCAAACGAGATGCCACCAGGCCTCCAAGGGCGTACAGTTACCCCCTGCACATACGCCATTTAGGGAGCAGCCTCACCCTGTCAACGACGCATCTGTTGTTAGGCATATGCTAGGTTCATTGTGACTAATTTGCATGTAAGTCGTGCATATGGATGACTGCCACCATCGTAAATCATGAATGGCCTCTGAAGACAAGTCATTGTCTTGTCAAAATTACCGCGGTTTAAGATAAGGGCATCACTTTTATCCATTTCCAGCCAGCGATAATGCAACTGACCGTACATTACGCCCGGGAGACACGAAGTGAGAGTGCCCAAAACCGGAGAAACATCTTTTATTTTTGGGTGAGAAGCTTGTAGCAGCTCATGACACATGTGTTTTGTCTTCTCAGCTCGTTCCGCCGTCACAGATATTCGCATAAGAACTGAGTTGAGTCGGAAATCCAAAAAAGTAAGTACTTGGGAGGGAACTAAAACTGACTTATCCGGATGTACGTAAAACCCCACTTCACTAAATAAGCAGATGGTATCTCGAATATTCCGTACACATGAAGCATATGTGTCGGATGTCAGCCAAGTATCATCAATAAATCCAACCGAAATATGTCCTTTTGACGTAAATTTGAAAAAACAGGTTTGAGGAGTTTCGTAAATTTTCGTGGGCAGATGGCTAGGCCGTTCGGAAAACAGACAAATTTATATAGTTGCCCTCCCCACCAAAATTTGAGAAATTTTTGATATGCTGGGTGAACTAGTACGGAATGTTAAGCATCTTTGAGATCGATGGATGCCATGAAACAATTTGGTTTCATAAGCCTAATAGCTGACCAAACACAGTCCATTTTAAAATGGTGATATCTGACATGCCTGTTTAAGGATTTCAGATTAAGAATCATGTGAAAAGAACCGTCTTTTTGGGGGCAAGTGGAAATTGGAGATAAAAATTCCCCTGATTCAGGGTGAGAAATCTGCATAACGCCTTTTTTGCGTAATTTGTTTATTTCTAAATCAATATTGTCCATTCCAACCTCGGGTAGCTGTATTTGCTTGGATAAAGCTCTTTGAATCGGAAATGTGTCAAATTCAATTTTTGTCCTGACACTGCCTCTAAGATTTCCTTATCAGAGGTGAGTATTGCCCATGCACTTAAAAAATTTGATATGCTGCCAGCCTGATAGGCCTTCAAGCTTTTATTTAAATATGCTATTAGCGTGGGTACAATAGAAGAATACTGGTTTATCTGTGAAGTCCTAAATTTTTTTAAAAATTCAGTGTTTTCTACTTGCTATCGTTGATTGTGTCCGATCGTCCATTCTCGAATTGGTTCCTCTTCGACGGATAAGGGGTTTTGCCTTGATGACGGGATGAAAAATAGAGCCATAGTCGTTTACCTTGTTTGGAGTGTTGCAGCCAAGTGGTATTAGAAAAGCTTGTTCTCGAGTTGCGAATCTTGTTGGATGTGCGAATGTGATTAATTTGGGTTTGCAATTCATCTCCAAACAAATATTTCGTAATAGGAACATGCGATGAGCATAAAGTACTAAATTCTCTATTGGGACGTATAGCGTCACGTCGTGGTTGAGACAATTCAAAACTTACATGTCCCAGGATCGCTATGATATCAGCGTTAACAAACAAGATTATCAATATTCAGTTCACTGCTGTTATTGCGGGCAACCAACTGATCATTGGTGGTGTGTGCTGCTATATGACCGACATTCGTCAGAGTGGATTGAATGGCACTCAATTGTAAATCACGCCCTCTAGCTGTGCGGTCTAATTTTCCCCAAATTTCGGTGCTTACCTTATTTACAATCAGGTGATTGCAGTTCTTAGGCCTAAAATATTTAGCCTGTTTTTCCTTCAATTCCTCGTAGCTCAGCTTATTTAGCCAACGCTGGTTGATAATTGAGGCGAGCTTCTCGTTGACGATGGGTGAAGTTTTCTCAGTTTCGTCTATAGTGTGCGAAATCTCTTCCAGCAACGGGTCCTCTGCTAGCTGTTCTGCTTCAGAATTGCGCTTGGTCAAAGGTTCTTCGCTTTTGCGCCAACAAGACTTCACAATCTGCGTCATGTCCTGATTCAGGGATTAAAGCACTTGCTTTCCTCTTAAGAGTAGATTCTACTGTAGAGGATACTGACGTTTGTTGCATTAACTTGAGTGATTCACTTATTGCACTCATTGCTTCACTCATCCTACAAAGGGCCGTTTCCACATTTATGATGTGACTTGCACTTCTTCGCTTTCTTCCATCATGTGAACTTGTTTATCGTGTTCAGAAAAACCCAGGAGTACTGCTTCATCTCCGACATCATCTCTTGTCGTATACTCTTCACTTGTGGAAGCCATAATTAAAAAAATTAATAATATAGTGTGGAAAGGAAATTTTTGCGACTAATCGCTGTGAAATCTACGTTTGAACTGATCTTGATATCGCGCGCTCTACCTCACATGACTTCCTAGTGACGTAGTACAGTGACGAAATAGAATTATAGATTTATAGTGCCATTGTCGCACAACCTAAGTGTTCTGTTGTGCGGGATACTAAATCACGATTCTTTTAAAGACAAACGTTGGTTCACTACCAGGAGTATTAATATCAAAAAATGCGTATCCAATTCGTCTCTTCAAGACTTCAACTAAATGCAATACCATGCATTAATCAAATGCGTTGATAAAATGCGCCCATCAAAAATGCGTATTGAAACAACCAGAAATAGCGTTTGCAGCCTCTATATATACTATAAACATTCAACAAGATAAAATTACAAAGTTTCCTCTTTGCCACGATTGGAAAGGTCTTCCTCAGCAACTCAATGCTTTAAACTTCCCATGACAAATGCATGTGCGTAATTTAACGTAAATAGTTCCCATTTTACAATGCTCTTACTTCTTTAGTAATGTTCGTGCTTACAGAAAGAGAAAGATACTTCACTTGTTTTGATTTTTTATGAAAATTTCTTCCCGTATACTATTTTATAGTGATAAGTTTTACATCGTCCATATTGTTATTGATAAATTGATAAAAATTAAGACAAGACAGGACACCTTGCAAGAAAAACTGTCTGTTGCTCATTTCTTTTGCTGTTTTTCAGTTTTTCCAATTTTTATGAGCACAAAACGGTTAAAGCCACAAAGAATTCATCATAACTTATGTAGTTTTTTCATGATCCTTTTATTCGTTTGAAAATGACTGACTCAAGTCCATAGACAAAGTATCAACTATTGTCTGACTATAGATGTTGATCTTTGGTTTGGGAACTCAAACTTTGACAAAAAAATGGCCATTTGGATCGATATTTGGATAAATTTTGGCCTATTTTCTATTCTAATTACTTTTAGAAAATATATTGGTAATTTATCATAAAAGTCTATGTAAAATTATAAATCTGATGAGAACCATCTATGGACAATGAACATGATTGTTAACTACATTTCAGCTGTATCCAGATACAAGGAAGTGAATCAGAATGATCTCTTGATGAGCTCATCCTTTACATTTGAATACACACGTCTCCACTACAATACAATGAAAGTTGCATTATAAAACTGTGAATTTACGTTGTGAAACGAAGAAATAGGTGTTGAAATGTAGAAATAGTCGTTTTGGGTCATATTTGGTGAGTAAAATTTTACAAAACGTTAATATTAAAACATTATTGTTTAGCTACTCTTTATAATGTATCACCAATTTTACTAACGTTTTATATTTGAACTTTGATGTAAGTTTTTTAATAGGCCGTTGATTTATTTAATATTAAAGTTTTGTAAGTTATTTTTTCCCATTATTTCTCTTCGATTTTAGTTTGAAGTTCAAACAAAGGCTTCATAATTAAAACAAAAGATGCTTCATTAAAATAAGTCAGAATACTCACAACATTAAATTCTAAATAAATTTCTTGTTTGAAAATGGCTTCAGCACCTAAAAAACTAAAGATTGAGGCAAATGGATCTCGTTTGAGTAAACTTTTAATCAATAAAGGAACCAATGCCTTAACAAAAACATTGCAAATCATTATAAACCTTCAATCATCAAACCTAAAAGATAAACTTAAAGATCCTTCTACAAAGAGTAAATTGACATCCCTAAAATTCAAAGTCATCAACAAAGAGCAATGGAACCTTCTTTATCCATCAACTGGTTCACCTGACATTCAAAACTTTGATATCTCATTATTGACTGTCTTATTACGAAACATTTGTGGTCTAACAGCGCCACATAGTGGATGGAATAATCTTCCTTCCTCTTCAGATTCTTCAATCTCAGCAAACATTGCAAGAATAAAGTTTTATCGAAACAAAGTGTACGGTCACATAACTACAACTAGTGTAAATGACAGTGAGTTTGAGCATTTGTGGCAGGAAATTTCAAAATCATTGGTTGCTCTTGGTATTCAACAAGCTGAAATAGATGAATTAAAGAAAGCTCCCCTCAGTCCTGATGAGGCAAACCATATTGAAATATTGAAAAACTGGTATGAAAAAGAAAAACAGTTAATCGATGTCACGGAGGAAACTAAAGAGGTTGTAAAAGAATTAAAAAAAGATTTTGAAGTTATGAAAAACAAAGTTGAAGAAATTAAAGAAAACATGCCAACAAAAGCTGATATAGAAATGATACAGGACAAAATATGCTCAGATCTTCAGAAGCTTGGAAACTGTAATTTTAATGGTCTTATAAAAGACCTTAACAAGAAATACCTTGAAGGCACTAGACAATGGTTATTTGAAAAAGTTGACAATTGGTTTACCGACAAAAACGAAGATGTTTCTAATGTCATGATTTTGATTGCTGGTCCTGGCGTTGGTAAAAGTGTGTTTGCTGCTGAGGTTTGTCGACGATATTCTGAAAAGAAGAAACTTGCTGCTTCTCATTTCTGCAGATATAATAGATCAGATGAGAGGAATCCTAGAATGTTGATAGAATCATTGGCCTGTAGCATGTGTGATACAATATCAGATTTTAAATGTAAACTGAATGAAGAATTACAGAGAAAACATTCCTATGAATCACTCACCGATGCATTCCGTGTTTTATTAAACAATCCATTGCATTCATTGGAACATCAAGAACCAATGCTTTTGGTTATTGATGCCTTAGATGAAAGCCAAGTTGATGGCAAAAGTGAATTGTTGGAATTGATTGCAGAAGAGTTTGACCGACTGCCTAAATGGATTAAAATCTTCATCACCAGTCGTCCAGAACTTCCTGTTCAAAAGGAGTTGAAAGACGTGAATCCTGTGGAAATTACAACTCTTCTTCGTGATGAAAACAACGAAGAAGACCTGCACAAGTATTTGAGACATCAGTTAAATAATCGGTTGCAGAAAGATTGCTACCTTCTTCAGTCATTAGTTAAAAAATGCGAGGGATCATTTCTTTATGCGTATTACGCACAACTGAGCTTGAAAGAAGAAAATATTGAGCTTACTTACGAAAACATTCAACAATTGGTCCCTAGTGGGTTAAGCGGTGTTTACGCAAAGCAATTCAAAAAAGTAAAAGAATTGTTAACTAAGAAAAGTCCCAGAAATTCGGTTATCTCAGAAACTACTTTCATGCAATTTCTTGAATTGTTGGCTGCCTGTCGGGAGTTTTTACCATTAACTTTACTGTTTAGCTATTTAGGTTTTTCTGATGACATCACGTTTGAAGTCCGCAGTAAAATCATTGAACTGTTATCTCAAATTTTGCCAGTTTACGATGATTATTTAACCGTGTATCACAAATCTCTATTTGATTGGTTGAAATCAGATGGTTACGAACAGCATGAGTTTACAGTTAATCCAAAAAATGGTCATAAGCTCCTATGGCATGCTTGTGAGAAAGTGTTTAAGCACATCAAGTCGATAAACATTTTTAAAGATCAGATGAACACTGCTATTATTAAATATGCTTTGAAGAATGGAATCTATCATATGTCAAAATGTTGCGAAAATGTTGACTTTAGTTGGGCAGTAGATGTCAAAGTGGTTTATGCGAGGTTAATGTGTGGGAGGACATTAACGTGAATACCATTAGGTCTGAATTGTTTGAAATCATTAAGGATCGACGTACTTTCTTAAGAAAAGATGTACTTGAGGAACAACTATTTCATTTGTTTATGGCGAGAGCATTCATATATGTATGATGATAGCTTAATTTATTTACAAATTATTGCAAACAGAATTGATGGCAGTAACGAAAAAGGATTATTGGCAAGGGATTTATTGAAACAAGGAAAGTTTTTTGGTTTGAGAATTTAGACTCAACATATTTAACAAAGCATCATCATTTGACTGTCTCCTTGCGTGTTAACGTTACATCTCTTTGTGTGTCGTCCAATGAAGAACTTCTTGCTGTAGGATATGAAAATGGTCGAATAGCTATATTTGAACTTCCTGAATTCAAACAACGATGCACTCTAGGCACTGCACTCGATCATTCAATGTTGGATAAGTGGGTTTATGTATACGAATTTATATCTCGGTATGACTATAACTATCCAGCATCAACGAAATCTTGTTTTGTACGTGGAAACATCTGTTGTTGCTCCTATTCACCTACCGGAAATAGACTGGTAACTAGTGATGGATCTACTGAAGTAAAGTTGTGGGACGTTGACAATGGACATTTGTTATTATGTTTACTGGCAGATGATGTCGTTAATCATTGCTCTTTCTTAGATTCTGGTTTGTTCATTACAGCAGAATATGTAGAACATTCCTTTGAACTTCCTAAAGAAGTGTTCACTGCATGGAATTCATTAACTTTGCAAAGAATTGATCGACGCTGCGTTGCTGATTACCAAAAACTACAATGCACCGATAATTATTCAGAGTTCTTTGTTGAAGTCATTGACGAGACTTCGTATATTTTTCAATTCTCAAAGGCATTCGATATTTGTTCAAGAAAAAAGGAATGTTCACAATCTTTGCATTTAATGACAGCACACCACTATCGTGATTGTGTTTTTTATCATACAAATCAGGTTGTAAAGCTTTCTGAAGTCACTCAGTTGACAAAATACAAAAATCAAGGAGAAATCGAGTTTTGTTTACCAAATGTTAGGTGTCCATGTGTTCGTAGGTTTGTTGAAAATGTCCATCCCATCTCGTTTAAGGAATCTTACGTTGTGCCGTATTTTTCCAAGCTTAAAGTTTTCAAAACTGATCATCTTTGGAGACCTTCATTTATCTTTGAGAAATTTAGATATAAATGTTGTTGTTTTTCACCGGATGGATCTTTTTTTGCTGCTTTCGCTGTTGGTGAACACGTCAACATTCATATTTGGAGCATTGAACGTTCCACTACTATTCAAACTGTACCAATACAACTGAAGAATGCATTAGGATGTTGGTGGTCAGATGGTTTACTGTGGATATGGGATTGTTCTGATCATCTTATGAAGATATCAACTTCGTCTGAAAATTTTGTAGATTCTTCTCAAGCAAAACATGTTAACCTTGGATTTAAACCTGAGAAAATCTTAACATTTGGTGATGTCTTAGTTTGTATTGATGAACTAGATTTTCTTCAAATTGTTAGAATTACCAAGGGTGAAATACAATACAACAGACGACTTTCAGTCGATAGTTCAAAATTTAAAGCAGCAGCTGTATCACCTGATAATTCTGTTATTTTAACTGTAAACAAAACAGAATACACATTCTGGAAATGGGGAAATAACAACAATGAACTTTACTTGGAAGCTTGGTATACTGCAGAAATACCCATAACGTCTTTTCTTGAAAAATTTGTTACAGAACAGATAACTGTAACTCGTCTTAAAGTCCGTTGCTTTATAAGTGATGGTAACCAAGCGGTCATTGCATTCCCTTTTGAAGACAACAATTTCGACTGGAGAACTGGCATTTATGTAATTAATGTGCATAAAAACAATGACGTGAGTACGATTTTCCATAGTATCGATTATTTTTGTTTGTCTAAGACAATCGCACATAAATCATATTTCATTTGTGAATCTTTTAGCACATTGGTTGCTGTGGATTTAAAGAGGGGTGAAATATGTGCTGAATTTTACGGATTAGATTCTGTATCTAATATAACTATACATTACAACACAGATACTATAGGTTTTGTGTCAGGTGATGGATACGGAATTAAATTTTTAAAACTCAATGTTCCTGAATGAATCCATTAATTCAACCTTTGTAGTTACAATAATCTATCGTATTTACGAACATTACATATCACTTAAAACGAACATTAAAAATTTCTTTATATCAAAAAAGGACACTTATTTATGGTATCAACAACGAACTCAAAAATATTGTAGAAAAAATTGTCCATATCCTTAGTTTTAACTGTGGAAAAACTGTCAGTTTTTTATTATGTAAAAATCTTACTGACAGAGAGAGAGATTAGTTTTTTGTAATGTCAAGTAAAGATCATTTTCATCTTATGATTCCCGTCAACTTTCAAATTTATATTTGGAGAATTCAACACTGTAACATTGTCGAAGATGTGATGAAATTGAGAATATCACACGAAGATGTTGATTGTCGTAACGATGGTCGCTTGTTTTACATGTGAAAATTACCAAAAGTGAGAAACCTTTGATCTCTGAACGAACTTTATGATGATGGTTTACTTTTTAATACAATTGTATGGTCAGATAATTCGGTTATTTTTATTATATATTAAACGTTCACTACATAGAAATGAAAGAATGTCGACAACTCATTCATTGTGAGTCATTTGACAAAATGGTGTTATTGTAGATAAAGATTATTTTGTTTACATTATAGAATGACTTTCTTTTGAACATTCTTTCAAAAACTGTAAATAAAATTTAACTTACGCATGTTAATATCGTGGAAACAAGTTTTGTATGATGTTAAAAATTCACATTTATAAAACACAATCATGTCATGTCATGTCATTGGGTTTTATGGTCATTAGTTGAAAAATGGGAGAGATAATTAAAACGATATCACTGTCTTTTAATACATTGAAAAGTAAACTTGCAAATGACAGCAATCCATTATAGTGTGAACGGACCTTAGGTACAGAATAGATATCTTAAAAGAAGGTACACTCGTGTCGGAACCTTTGATGTTCGTGTCCCCCTCTTTTCTGAAGCAAATTCTAAAGCAGACACGCCTTCCAGCAAGATACTTCCGCTAGATCGCAATAGAAAATGTAGATGTATTTACAAATATATTGTTTTCGATTAAAATGCTTGGAACCTTATCTTCTTTCAAGATGATAACTCTTTGTAAAAATTTCAGCAAACTTTTGCTTTAAACGTGAATTATTTGTAAAACAGCATTATCGTGCAATACTATTCCATATTGATTTTGTGAAAGTATCTTGCTGGGAAGTCACGCATGCGTAGTGAAAAAATGCGCCACGATTTTAGCCGAGTGGGCCTTCTGTTAGGTGTCTATTTTGTTGTTAAAGTAAACACATACGAATTTAAATACTTTAACACTTCTGAAATTGACGTCACGATAAAAATTTTTTGTTTTGATTGGCTCTTTAGGTGCAAATGACTTTTCAAAAATACTATAATTATCCTTTAATATATTTGAACAAAAGAAATACTTTGGACTAAAACTTCTACAACCGTTTCAATCTTTGAACTTCTCATAGGCCGAATACATTTAAAACAAAAGACAATGTAGAATTCTACCATATTTTCTTTTGTCTTTAATGCCTCGGTTAATGTAGAAATATAATGTAAGCAGTGTGTATTTACGGGTGAAGTAAGAAATATATGGAAGAAATCAACAGGCCTTGTTAGAATCTTTGTATTGTGAAGGATTTTACCAATCACCACCAATAGGATTAAATTTTGAGTGGCAAATATGTTCAGAAAGGATGGTCCATAATATCTGTACTGTATTGGTTAAATATGGAGGTTACACCATAAATGGAATGATATAAAGTTATTAAAAGAACATGTACAACGTCCTACGTATGTATGAACATTTACATTGGACTATGAAAACTGACTACATTCTACAAAGATGAAAAGAGGCAAATGAAAAAGAGAAGAATGGAATAACATGATCCAGGTATTATAGTTCGTAAGTAGAGTAGACAAGTTTTTAATTTTGTTTTCATGAGTATGAGGTTATTATGAAGGATCACGGTGGTCTATTTTTACAATTTGAAGATAAATAGAAATCCTCTTTAAACTAGGATTTTGTGGCCAAATCTTTCAATTTTTAGTTGTAAATATATGAGACCTCGTGATGCAATAAATGACTGGCTTTCACTATAGTTACTTTTTTAAAAATACATGTTTAAATATTTTAATTTCTAAAGAAAAATCACCAAACGATAGTCTAATTTCATAAAGCGTTCATTGAACTTCTAAGAGAAAAAAATGTTGCTAAGTAAATGCACGAAGCATCAAATCTGTGATCCAGAAAAAGCAAGAGACACCAAATAACCACTAAGATTGGTAAAGAAAACTCTTTGAAATCAAGCAATAATTTTTTTCATTTGTCATTCCAAATGAATTTCATTTGTTTTCTTTGGGTTAAATGACATAGCTAAGAGAGAAAATCAGCAACAAAGTAACACAAATGTCTTTCGTTATCTTTTCTTTAAATATTTTATTCATGCATGTATTGAATTCCCTGTAATGTAACATAAATAAAGACGGAGTAAACACATTCATTTCAAGGGCGACAGCACATCCCGCCATGGCAACATGTATCTCTCCTGGGGCAACAATTGTAATGCGAAAACTTGTTATGATGGTAAACAACACAGCATCTTCGGTTATCTTCACACCAATGCCATAATCCATTTTCTCTTCCACAATATACCTTTTTATTTACTTCCTGAAAGGGATTTGATCAATGAAGAAACAATAAAAACGCGCTACTTAAGTCGCTTTAGTGGTAATGGCGTATCTTACATAGATAAACAACTCTTTCTCAAACTAAACATTGTGCTCAGACTCTGCATTTTTACTCCTATTTACATTCTGACTTTAAAAATTGTTGATCTGTGATGTTTGTCCTTTTCTGCAAAATGTTTGTCTCAGAAGTTTTGATGATATAATCCCAGTTTGTTAACTCAATGCTATTAAAATAAATATCGATATTTTAATAATAATTATTTGCAGTTATACAGACTGGTTAACTGCTTTAGTAAATTTATTTAGTTAAAGAACATGCTGTTTGTATATAGATTAACAATTAATTGTCCGTTTACTTTTCATTGAATTTTTGAACACCTACTACTTGTCTTTGTGTTAAGAAAGATAAATAATTAAACATATGCATTCTAGAAGAAATTTTATAAATGATTTAAGCACATTATTTAAGTCGTTTTAGATGTAATGGCGTTTCTTACATTTATAAATATTTTCTATTTAGAAATGAAAAATACTCGAGTATAGCATTTTTACTCTTATTGACATTTGAATAATTAAAAATTGTGTGTCCGATAATAAAGTTTTCATTTTTTTCAAAATATCTTGAGCTCACTATTTAAGTTTTACAGTTATGATGCGTGGCAAATCTTATATTTAAAATAATATACTTGAAGATATTCTGAACTGTCATTGGTCGATTGCTGTGCGTTTTATTGGTAATTACCAATTTACCAATAAAACCATTTTACTATTATTTCTATTTCAAACTAAAAATCTTAAGTTGTTTGTATTTTTACGTCTATTAGCATTGTGATAGTTAAAATCTGTTTATTCCACATGAAAACTTAGTTTTTTAAATTGTTTGTCCGAGAAGATTGTTTAATGGTTTGATTCCAACTTACAAGCTTAATTATTATAATAAATATAACAATTTTAACGGAAGCTTAAATTTCTGGGGGAAGTTTGGTATTTTGGTCTTTCCCAAAATGTACGTATTTAAGTACTATTTCATGTAGAAATTTATAGTCACATGACAACTGGTAGATTGAATTTACATTCCTCAAAGTCCGTATATATAGATACTTATTTCAAAGTGTTATGTTTACTAGCTGCAAGCACTAAAGGCCCATGATATAGAAAATCCAGGAGTCTGGGGTGCACCCTGGAGCAACTTTAATCTCCTGAAAATCATCATTCCGTGCGTTTTGAGGACTTTTTTAGTAAAACTAGAAAATCAAGTAAAAAAACAGTGAAAATAATCGACAAGAAGCCAACGGCGTTTCAAATCTCTGTAATTTCCATGCCCAAAAACGGCCTCTTCCCGATTATAGGGGAGTGCCATCTACCCAGTGCTGTAGAAGGGGGCTTGGGGGAGGAGCCCTCTTCTACCTTTGGAATGGGTAATTTTAAAGGGCACTATTGACAAAACGTCAAGAGAGCCCCCATCTAATAAATTTACTTTTACAGCACTGCATCTACCTCCCACCCCCAACAATCCCCCGGCAAATAAGCCTTTGAGCCCATATTCATATTACACATTTTTTAATTAGCTTCTATTTCTGATGAAAAATTGTTTGTAGTGGAATGAAAAACGTTCTCAGGGCTAGATTAAGGGGAGGGCGTGGCCACAGGACGAATGGTTTTGAGGGCCCCGCGCAAAGCAATTATTTTCAATGGAAATATTGTCTTTGTGTGGCAAGAATAATGTAAAAACCGCAACACTGTAGGTAGGAAATTTGGTATTTAAATAAAACCTCATATTACAGACTAAATTTCGAGTGCTTCCATTAAATGTCAACTTGGAGTTTTTAAACAAACTATGAATGAGATCAGATTTTATGTTTGTAAAATACATCGTAAGAAACATTGGACTCGTTATTGTAAGAATATCATTTTGAAAAGAAACATTTGTATTTTGCTAACGCTTTAGCGGAAGCATTTTAGTAAATAAAGTTCTACTTGTAGCTATTTTTTGTAAATCAAAAAAATTCTTAAATTTTTGTGGATAAACGATGTCAGTTGAGGGGAAGAGCTAGTTAGCCTTTAAACCGCCACAAGCCCCACGAAAGCTTGATCCTAACCCGAACGTTCGTCATGTTTATGGACTTTGCCCCACTTACTCCTCCTCCCCAAAGGTTTTTAGCTATTGTGAAAATGTTTATGTTTGATAAATATCAAGACGGCCAACTTTATTGTACGTCATTTCCAATAATGAATTTATCGGTCTTTGTTGTATCGCTCCATTTTGACCAAATCAAAAAAAAAACCAGTAGATACAACACAATGTAAATTCCTTTCATTGCTGAAACAAAATGATCAAATGTATTTCTTTCTTTACATGTTACTGTTACTTAAAATATATTTTTTCAAATTAGTTACTTATGTTATGACAATGAACTTCAAACAGCAGTGTTAAAATTACTTTTTCTTGTACTTCTTTTTCGTAACGAGAAAAATACAGCAAAATAGAGTAGCAATAGTTCTGTCTTCTTCCTATATCGATGTACTTTGAAGCTCTGGTGACTTGTCCAATTGATTGATTACATTAATATATAAGATCGTATTTAAGTAAGAATTTATCATATGAAGCTCAGTTGTTATTCATGTGAATTTTGGTTGGAGATCAATTAATCCTTTTATGTTATTGTATGTTAATCATCCATGATGATTTCTCATGATGACGTTATAATCTCATGACATGGTATAAGATTATAGGACAGGAAGAAAGACATATACTGAAATAGAAATAGCTCTTGTCATTTTCTGTTTCCAATACCTAATTTAGAACGTCAGACGAAAAAAGAAGTATATTTCATGCCACGAAATTTAAATAAGCTTACTCCAAGTATATATACAGCTCAGTGTCATAAAGAAAAGTAAAATCAACCCAAAAGATACCATTTAAAGAGCTATATTAATTACTCACTATATTGCTTAAAACCAATAACATATTTCGAGATGTATATTGTCTTACTTTTTGTGTTGTATATGAAAATCTAAATAAATGAAAAAGTATCCATTTCAACCAGTCAAGATATAGAAATTCGTAATCATGGAAAAGATTATACATTATTTTATTCATGCATGTGTTGAATTCGATCGGTCAAAACACAATTCGCCAGACGATATGATTATATAAAAAACGTAGCTAGTAAAATATAAAGGTTCAGCTCTCTGACGCTGATTATCAAAGCGCGTTTAATTTTTGTTATAAGTGGCGTTTTTGTTTGGAAATCAGAATTATTAAGTCATTGCGGCAAAGCCAAAAAAAGCAGAACATCAAATTCATAAATAGTTTTTTGTGATCGACTGAGAAAATTTCTCTTGCTCTATAGAATAATTTTGATTGCTTTCATGTGACTCACGTTGGTTAATTCATGGTTATGGACTTTGCCCCACTCCTTATTATTAAATGTTTATGTTTGATAAATATTAAGACGACTAACCTCTTTGTACGTATTTTCCAATAATGATTTCGTCGGTCTTTCCTTCATTTGCTTGTATCGCTCCATTTTGACCAAATCAATAAAACCAGTAAACACAACAGTATGTAAGCTCTTTTCATAGCTAAAACAAAATGATCAAATGTATTTCTTTTTACATATTACATTTTGTAGCAATAATGTTGAAATTACCTTTTCTTGTACTTCTTTTGTAACAAGTAAAATGCAACAAAATAAATTAGCAATAATTCTGTCTACTTATATCGACCTACATTGAAGCTGTGGTGACTTGTGCAATGAAGTGTTTATTGTGAGATCGTATTTAAGTAAGAATTGATCACATGAAAATCAAACGATATTCGTGTAAATGTTGGTTTGAGATCAATTAATATTTTTATGTTGTTGTATCTTAGTCATCCATGATGATTTCTTGTGATGATGTTATAATCTCATGATATGGTATGATTACATGACTGGAACAATGTCATATAGTAAAGTAAAACTAGTTCTTGTCCTTTTCTGTTAATGCGATAATACCTGCAAATTTAGGAGTTTGGAAGTGTAAGAACAACCTTAGTTAAAGACATTAGTTAAAAGTCTTTTGGTTATTCAATAAATAAAACACTTGGAAAAATACATATAAAATTTTGTAAATAGATTTACCACACCGTGTACATGCGACAGATGTCAATCTGTCTTTCAATAGATGCTTCGATAAGGTCATTCATCGTCTTAAATTATAATATAAACACAATGAAACGCGTGCGTTGATTGTTCTAGAGCTGAGTTTGCATTAGCCAGTGCAAAGTACATCTGACCTCAACCAATCAAATCAATCGAAACAATAAATCAGTCAAAGAGAATTTGCAAATTGATCATGAATACATTTTAGAGAAAAAATGGAAACGTTTGTCTTTTTCACATTATTGTTAATGAATAAAAGAAATAAAAGATGTTTTCGTGTTTGCACTGCCTTATGCAAACCTTGGAGAGGTTTGTGAGAACCTCGAGCACGTGCAACCCTCGACCTTTGGTCTCGGGCTTGCACTGATCATCTCTTATGTTCTCCCAAATGTCTCCTCGGTTTGCATAATCCTGTGCAAACACAGTAAACATCTTTTATTTCTTAATTGAAACATTGAAACGTTTTTTAACAACGTGCAATACACGAGATAGATTGTAAATGTTTGTTTTGACGTCAAACTCAAACTAAGATTTTACGGATAATAATGTAGCACAGTTCTCATGCTTTGGATCAAATTTTTTGAAATGAATTACATAATATATAATATAAATATATTTATTTTTCAAGTTTTTATCAGAAATCACCCGTAACTTGTTTACTAAATGTATGGAATTAAAGTGCTTTTACATGCTTAAGCTGCGAAATTTGTCGGTGTTAAAATAACCAGGAATTTTATTATAGCTGTGTGCCGTCGTTTTTTATATATTCACCTTCCATGAGCGAAACTAGAACGTTTATTTGGGGGGGGGGTATATATTCATATGTTCAGCTGTGCCCTGCTGATTTCTTTTGTTTGCGATGTTAATTTCAACAGAAGTCAGCTGGGCAGAGCTGAATATATGAATATTTACCCCCGCCATTACGTTCTAGTTTTGCTCTCTGATACTATATGTTATTTGAGAACTTAAATGTCGTTGTTAAGAAATTTCGTAAAACAAGAAAATTGATTTTATTTTCATGCCTTACTACAATACAACATATCTGCATGCACTTTATCATTTAAATAAAGCAAACATGTTGGAATATTTAGACAAAAAATACATTTAATTGAGTAATTGTATATCGTTTATGATTAAGTTGAAAACAGCAAAAACCATTCATTTTATTGTGAATTTGCATTCTGAAATGAATGACTGAAGTATATAACCTACGATGTTCACTTTTGATTTTATTTTAATATCTTGTGTTATGTTTACATACTACGAGTCTGTGGCTTAAAGCAAGATCAATCAATGGCTTAGTCATCCTACTAGTTATGGTATTAGTGACCTTAAGATTTAACGACGCGCTCATCTACAACGCGAGCGGAAATGAATTTTAAACCAATGCGCAGTGTCGTTTTTGTCTTGCTTCTACAACGCGGCGTCTTTGCTTAATCCCACGTCGTCCTACATCGAGTGTGGAATTTTTCACAAAAGTTTTAAGTAAGTATTTCAGCTTTTAATTCACCGGTTACAATTGTCTGTGGAGTCTGGTATGTGATTGATATGTTGATATTTATCTGTGAGTAAATATGTTTGCTTAGCAAGGCAAGAAATGGCAGAACAGTTTTCTCAGCATCAAGTGATTGCTCATCAAGCACACCACTAAATTCATCGTGATTTAAATTAAGTTTAGATAAATGAACATCCAGTGGCTTTGAAATTTGTCTTGCTTTGTAATAACGGTATTGATATATCAATTTTAGCCAATATATTTCTAAATTGTTCTTGAACGCGAATATCATACAAAAGCGCAAATTCTTCTTCGTTTATCAAAGCGGCGTCAACGCGACAGCTATAGCATTTTTGTTTTTTGAAGGAGGCCATTTTGAAATTATAGGTGTGAACTCACAAGTTCGCGTGAAAATTCACTTAATGACTTAACATAATGAGCGGACGCATTCGCACCAGGCCATGCGCGCCAAACTCGCGTCGTTGTAACGCGCGTCGTGAAATCTTAAGGTCCCTATTGCATAATGTACTGTGAATTTCAGACGATTTTTCTTGTGTAAAAAATCACTTCTTTTAACACTCGCAGCGAGTGCACATAGAAAACGGACAAACCAAGAGTCTGATTCTGATGGCCAGAATGAGTTGGGCTGTCAATTCTCAATTCTCATCGTCAAAATGTTGTCAAAGACGACCACAACATTTGTTATTCAGAATTTTAAAGTTTTGGTTTTTCTCGACCCAATCCTCCACCATCACAGTTGCTCCGCATACTTTCTTATAGTCACGTGATTAAATGGAATGAAACATGGAAAGATGGCGGAATTCCAGTGAATAGTAATTCATAGAGATGCCTTAGTAAGGTTTTATTTTCATTCCTTTGAACTTTTTAATCATTCAGTCATGCAGAAGAACGTGAAACAAAGAACGTGTTCCTATCTGGTGCTTTACAAAAAGAATTCTACTCGATAAAGAAAACAAAAGTCTCATCATCACAACTAAAAAAGCTTGCAAACGGCTTTAGGTATAAATCCATAAGTAATGATTGTAGTTATTGCTGATGTATTTAGATTCTATTTGCTCTATGTTTTTATGCATTTTCAACCAGTTTCTACATTTGCTATCAACAAAACATTGAGTGTAGTAATCTCTCATTCAAGATGTCAACGAACGCTGTCGATAGTATCTTTAAAATTGCTCAATGTATGATTTGTACTTTTTTATACGTGGCAAACAGTTATTTTTAGTGTCAATCGCTGGTTCATATTCTTTTTCTTAAGTTTTATGTATATATGTTTATGGAGAAATCTATGTCAACGTGTGCAATGAATTTAATGTACTGCTGTGTTCAGGAATGTTGCTTTACAAAATGATCGCTTTATCATTTTGATCTATTCTAGAGGAAATAAACGCTGTTCAAGGAAATGAAAAATCTACAGGGTAAGTTTAATTATGTAAAGTTGTCCAATTTTCTTTCCAATTTTCCAATTTTAACATGACCAAAATGAGTTATTAACCTTGAATCTTAATAAATTCACAGTTATATCCAGACTACGCATGCTCACAGATTTGCTAAGTTTTATTGTTCAAAGTTAGATTTATAAACCAGAATGTTGGTTTGATTTATTTATAATAAAATCTTCAGGAATGTTTCTTCTGCAACTCTACCTCCACTACCTGGTCAGCAAACATTCACAGCAGATCAATATTTTCCTTTTGAGTTGGCTTGTCAAACAAAATGTGCCAGGATTGTCACCATTGCACTTGACTGTATACAAGTAAGTTGTTTTGTTTGATGTGTTAGGACATTTGGAGTCTTTAGTTGTAAGAAATAGATTTAATATTGTAAACTCTTTCATTGCATTGTTATTAAGTTATTGCATTTGATAGCACAAAATAAGTTCCTGCAGTATTTTCTTTGTTAGTTACCCCTAAATTTCTCCTAGAAATTGTCAATATTGCTATCCTTATCTATCAACAGTACTCATCCCAAGCCTCACAACTTCACATGTGTCTTTCACCACCATTTTGTATTCCTTCACAAATCTAGGTCATGTATTTTGCTTCTATAAATTGAGTATTTCAAACATTCTTTTTCTAGAAACTCATTGCTATGGTCATATTGTTGGCATACACCAGACTCCATTGAACCAGAGAGCGTTTAATTGACAGAATTATACTATTTGTACTTGTTTACGGTATAAATACTGATGTAAATGTTCAAATACAAATTATAAAGGTATTTATAAAAAGTAATGTCAAACTGTTAAAGTATTTAATGAGAGAAATGATATATCCTTGAGGAATTTAAAGAGGGTAATGACATATGTATCCCAATGTTTTTTACATTTTTTGTGCCATGAGTTTTTTAAATATCACATTAATAATTGATTCCAACAAGATTAAAAGTCTATGTGTTAACTGTAGACAGTTGAAATGATCCATTTTTATATGTGTATATTTTATTATCTATATTACAGGCTCTTCTAACAGCTGTTACATCAAGTACTTGTGAAGTTCATGAAGGAACTTTACTTCAAGCAGTTAGAACAGAATTTACAACATTTACCTTGCCAGTAAAGTCTTGTTAGTCAAACAACAGCAAAGGCAACACTGATCAAATGATAAGTCTTGTGTTTCAGAGAATGGAAAGTCAAGCTGTAAGTTTTGTTCTGATGAACATAATATTTTTGTATCATATTGTACATCAAATAGACATGTCAATGTTGATAATATTGTATCATATTGTACATCAATATATTAGTCATTGTTGATAATATTGTATCATATTCTACATCAATAACATCAATGTTGATAATATTAATCATATTGTACATCAATAGACATGTCAATGTTGATAATATTGTATCATATTGTACATCAATAGACATGTCAATGTTGATAATATTGTATCATATTGTACATCAATAGACATGTCAATGTTGATAATATTGTATCATATTGTACATCAATAGACATGTTAATGTTGATAACATTGTATCATATTGTACATCAATAGACATGTCAATGTTGATAATATTGTATCATATTGTACATCAATAGACATGTCAATGTTGATAATATTGTATCATATTGTACATCAATAGACATGTGTGTTGATAATATGTATCATATTATACATCAATAACTTGTCAATGTTGGATAATATTGTATCATATTGTACATCAATAGACATGTCAGTGTTGATAATATTGTATCATATTGTACATCAATAGACATGTCAATTGTTGATAAATTGAATCGCATCCGTACATCAATAGAATGTCGAATGTTGATAATATTGTATCATATTGTACATCAATAGACATGTCAATGTTGATAATATTGTATCATATTGTACATCAATAGACATGTCAGTTTGCATAATATTGTATCAATTGATACATCAATACGAGAATTGTCAAAGGAAATATTGCATCATATTGTACATCAATAGACATGTCAATGTTGATAACATTTATCATATTCACATCAATAGAATGTCATGTTGATAATATGTATCATATTGTACATCAATAGACATATCAATGTTGATAATATTGTATCATATTGCACATCAATAGACATGTCATGTTGATAATATTTATCATATTGTACATCAATAGACATGTCAATGTTGATGAACATTGTATCATATTGTACATCAATAGACATGCCATTTGATAATATTGTATCATATTGTACATCAATAGACATGTCAATGTTGATAAATTGTATCATATTGTACATCAATAGACATGTCAATGTTGATAAATTGTATCATATTGTACATCAATAGACATGTCAATGTTGATAATATTGTATCATTTGTACATGTAATAGACATCAATGTTGATAACATTGTATCATATTGTATATAGACATGTCAGTGTTGATAATATTTATCATATTGTCATCAATAGACATGTCAATGTTGACAATATGACATATTGTACATCAATAGACATATCAATGTTGATAACATTGTATCATATTGTACATCGAGAAGACATGTCAATGTTGATATTGTATCATATTGTACATCAATAGACATTGTCTGTTGATAATATTGTTTCATATTGTACATCAATAGACATGTCAATGTTGATAATGTTGTATCATATTGTTCTCAATAGACTGTCAATGTTGATATTTGTATCATATTGTACATCAATAGACATGTCAATGTTGATAATATTGTATCATATTGTACATCAATGCATGTCAATGTTGATACTATTGCTCATATTGTACATCGAGATGTCAATGTTGATAAATTGTATGATATTGTACATCAATAGACATGTCAATGTTGATATTGTATCATATTGTACATCGTAGACATGTCCTGATCCATTGTATCATATTGTACATCAATAGAGATACAAAAGTTGATAACATTGTATCATATTGTACATCAATAGACATATTGTTGATAATATTGTATCATATTGTACATCGATAGATATGTCAATGTTGATAACATTGTATCATATTGTACATGATTTGTCAATGTTATAACATTGCATTTCATAAGATTTTGTCCTGTCAATGTTGATAACATTCATCTAATTTGTACATCGGATAGACATGTCAATGTTGCATAACATATTGTACATCAATAGACATTCAATGTTGATAATATTTATCAAATTGTTAACATCAATGATTATCAATGTTATAATATTTATAATATTGTACATCAATTGCATGTCAATGTTATAACATTGTAACATATTGTATAACAATAGACTGTCAATTGAGAATTTTTTTATTGTACAAAATTTACTGAATGTTGATCTTCTGGATCAAATTTAGATCAATAGATGTCAAGTTGATAACTTTATCATTTGTAGATCAATGACATGTCAAGTGGACAATATTGTATCATTTGTACATCAAAGACATGTCAATGTTGACATAAGATCATCTTGTCTAATAGACAAAATAATGTTTAACATTGTATCATCTTGTACATCGATAGACATCTCAATGTGTAACATTGTATCATATTGTACATCAATAGACACAATGTTGATACATTGTACATATTGTACTCAATAGAGATGTCTTGTTGAAACATTGTAGATATTGTGCACAATAGAATGTCAATTAAATAACATGCTGGTATTGGACGTCAATAGAGATGCCAATGTTGATAAATTGCACAAATTGAACAAAATAGAGATGTCAATGTTGATAAATTGTATCAAATTGTAGATCAATAGATATTTTATGTTGATAATTTGTATCTTATTCTCCACCAATAGATATGTCTGTTGACTTTCTTCATGATTGTTCATCAATAGACATTCAATTTGATAACATTGTATATATTGACATCAATCCATGTCAATGTTGATCACATTTGCATCAGATGCTACAGAAAACAAGGTACTGTATTCATAGCTTTGAGTAATTTAAGGGATAAATTATTATACAGGAAATGTTATATGTATACATACATGATGATGATGATGATGATGAAACTTTATTAAAAGAGGGTAACACGTGACACAACAAGTGTGAAAAACTTGTGGCCCTCAAACTAACAAACTACGAGATCAATAACAATTTAAAAACCAGAATTACACCAGACTAAAAATACTAAAAAACTAAATAATAAATTAATCTATGAGCATATCTGAATTAGCTTTATCATAAAGTTTCTTTTTAAAAAGGGTAGCTAATGAAAGTTTACGCATAGTAAGAGGTAGACTGCTCCAAAATCGACTTGCAGTAGCAACAAAAGATCTCCCACCATCATTTTGTCTCTTCATTTTGGGTAAACAAATAGTTAAGTCTTTATAACGAGTATTTCTACTGTGGCGACTGGCATTTGTTGGTAGAATATCAATAATATTAGATGGACAGTTACCATAGAAACGTTTATGACAAATCATGGCCTATCTAATTTCTACTTCCTTACTAAAAGGTATCCAGCGCAATTTGGAAAAGAGTGGAAAACTTCTATCGCGTGTTGAGGCATCTAGAATTACGCGAGCTGCTCTCTTTTGTAATTTTGTAATTTGATCCAAGTTATCTTTTGTTGTATTTGACCAAACACAGCTACCAAACATCATAGCAGATTTAATAGTGGCATTATAAAACGCAATGCGTTCATCCAATGATAGATAATATCTTAACTTTTTAAGAAGGCCAATTCGTTTAGCTAATTTGGAACATAGCTTATCAATATATTTGAAAAACTTAGGTCTTCATCTAAAATGATTCCCAGAAGCTTCTGGTGGGAAACCTGCTCTAACATATTGCCATTAATATGAACACACAATAATGTAGATGAATTTACCAGTTTCTTTGCAATTCTTTTTCTAGTGATAAGCATAGTTTTTGATTTTGTAGAGCTAAGCACCATTAAACTTTTATTTGCCCACGAGTTCAAATTAGTTGTATCCTCTTGTAATATGCGTTCAATAGAGGAAACATCTGAGTATTGATTAGATTTGATAAGAGTGGTATCGTCAGCAAAATATTCGTTGAGGCGTTTTTATTGATTTAGGCAAATCATTAATAAATATGATAAACAACAGGGGGCCCAAGACTGAACCCTGTGGTATACCACGATCAATAATAGTTGTAGCAGAGGAGACGCCATTCACTGACACGTATTGATACCTGTTTGACAAATATGAGTTGAACCATTTGATGGAATCAGTACTAAGACCACAGGCTTTAAGTTTACCCAAAAGTAGTTTATGATTCACCATATCAAATGCTTTTTTAAAATCACCAAACAGCAAGCCACTAGGATTGTCATTATCAAGATCAGATAATATCTGATCAACAATTTTAATAAGAGCCGTTTCAGTAGAATAGCCATTCCTAAAGCCAGATTGAAGAACATAAAACATGTCGTTGGATTGAAATTTGCGAACCAAACAATTATAGAGATGACGTTCAAAAACTTTGGAAATTATCGGTAGCGTAGAAATAGGTCGATAATTATCTGGATCTGTAGAATTTCCATTTTTAAACAGGGGAAAAACTTTGGCTGTTTTCCATGACTGTGGAAATTGACACGAAGTAATACAATGATTGAAAAGCTTTGACAACGACGATGAAATAATTGGGGCAGCAGTCTTCAAGATCTTTACACTAATATTGTCTGGATCATTTGCTTTTGATTAGGGAATATCTTGAATTATTTGAATAACCTGCTCAGCACGTATTTCAGGAATATCTAAACTCAAATTGCCAAAAGATAAAAAATCGTTATCATTTATAACAGTGGTATCATCTAAAAGATTAGAAGCCACATTTGCAAAGTGCAGATTAAACGCTTCAGCAATTTCTTTGTTATGATGGAAAAGAGATCCATTAAATAACAATTCCTTCACTTGAACGGGATCATTTGTATCACCAGAAAGAGATTTGAGTATTTTCCAAAGCTTCTTAGGATTTTTACGATTTTCAATAAGAGATGACTTGAAATAGACTTGTTTGGCTTTAAATACTGAATGATTATTTATTTTATTTCTAATTTTTCTAATTGACTCCCAGTCTTCTTGGGAACGAGAGGACTTCGCTTTTTTGAGAAGCAAATCTCTTTTTCTCATCATTGAAGATATGTCATCAGTAAGCCATTTAAGCTTATTCACCTTTTTAATGCGCTTAGAAATTAATGGGGCATGTTGATCAAGTATATTATTGAAGAGAGAGTACCACATAATTACAAAATCCTCAATATCATCGAAGATAAATGATGTATCCCAAGGAACATTTAGCAAAGAACTCCGAGACTTTTCTTTATCAAAGTTTTTCATATCGCGATAAGCCATAACAGTATGCGTTTGCATAAATTTCCCACAAAATTTTTTATAACGACACAAGCAACATACAGGTAAATGATCAGAAAGAAAGATATCAGCAGTCGAGCAATGAGATAAAAATTCGGGTCTATTTGACCAAATATGATCGAGTACTTTACCACTGACTGGACGTGTAGCATCGATAATATGTTGTTGAAAAGATAAGGATAACAAACACGTAACCAAGCGATGATGCTTGGAATAAGTGTCAAGATAATCGATATTAAAGTCCCCAAGGATTAACGTTTCTTTACCTTGCATGGAAGCATTTTCGATATTCATACCCAATTGAACATCGTAATTTTGGTAGGAGTTAGGTGGGCGATAAATGCCACCTATAATGAGACTTCTCTTCGACTTAAATGGGCACAATTCCATCCATAAAACTTCCAACTCGATTGTTTCCAAGTCATATCTTCTTTTAGCAATTAAATCACGATTAACATATATAGCAATACCACCACCATTCAAAGTTTTCGAAGTACTATTCCGATTCCTTATATATAAGTCAAAGCCAGGTATTATATTAAACAATTCAGTAGAGATTTGCGAATTCCAAAACGTTTCATTTATAATCAAAATATCCAGACGTTTCTCGTTATAGTCATGGCCAAGGATTTCAATTTGCACTTGTTCAAACTTTGTTTCATTCAAACGGTTTATATTCCATTGGCCTATCCGAAGGCCACGACTTGGTAGACTAAAACAACTATTTCCTTGCGGGAAGACACAAGATTTTGTGCAGGAACCGGACCTGGATTTAAATGAATGTCGCCATTCAATGCCAGTAATAAATAGCGATGAAGCAAAGATAATATTACAGACGCCATTGCTTGTTTAGACATCACCACAATTGCACAGCCAAATTGAAAGTTACTTGATTTACTTGATTTGTTCGGCGTAAGCAGCGACACTTTATTCTTCATATTTATAAAACAGGTTTGAAAATGCGATTTTGCCACATAAAAATAGTTTAAACAACGATCACTACTGTTATCCAGTATTTGATGAATAAAAATATCTTTAAAAATTAAACACCAAATCAAAATAAATAAAACTGAGGTGTAACTACACGAAACACGTCTAGTCGCCATATTGGAGATACATTGTTTCTGCTAGGATATATCTATTGGACAAACAGTGAAATGCTTAAATTGCTCAGTGCAGATTCCAATGAATTCAATCCGGAATCATATGAAAACTTGAGGCAGTTCAATGAAGAAGATAGATTAATATCATGATGAACATCGACATTTAAAAGTTCTTTTGCGTTTGAGATTAACTGCAGAACAGCCTCTTCAAGCTCGAACACTTCAGCAAATCGCAACGTAGTATGGTAAAGAGAATCAATACGAAAAACGCAAAAATCCCGATCTGGACTTCCTTCGAGGTCAGCATTACAACCCAAAATAGAGTTGCGAAGGAGTCTTACAAAGTATAACCTGTCTGCCATGTTTTAGGGTTGTAGACCATTGAGTTCTATAAAACCTGGAGGGGAAATGTCAAAGTGCTGAAGAACATTCATCTGATGATAAGTATTAAATCTTTTCCATTTGCCAAAATCATTTAACGCTTGGCTGAATCCCGGCTACCCGGGATCATGTAAACAGCCCCTAAATTTTCTCCTATTGTAACTGAACACCTGTATATATATATATATACAAACCGTACGTCCTGTGTCCCAAGTGCAGGAGTCACCATTTTAATATGGTGATAGCCGTGATGGCACATTGTATATACACTTTGTTTATATAAAAACTATGTATATATATGTACAATTAACTGGGAACTTGTAACTATGTCATTTTTTCTGATGATGTTTTTAAATAAAACCAAAATATTGCAGCGTAATTGTCTTGTTTTATAACTTTGTAGTTACATTATGGGTTACACTAGGTTACACTATTTGAGGTTACAAGATGCCTTTTACGGATTATGCTTATTTTCAACTTTTTGGTTCCAATCAGTTTTATATGTCTCTTTCAACTATTTTATCATATATATAGTTGTCCAAACTCTTGGGCTCCATATTCAGGTCATTTATGTCTTAAGAGTTGGAGCTGCTAGTACCAACATATTTAGTGTTTTTATTCGATAAAAATGGCACAGGTTTTAGCCACACTAACTTTTTCCTCCTCTCTTAGCTTATGAGCACACCTTTTGTGTTCACTATTCAATAAAAACACGATTCAATTAGCAAAATTTTCATTTTGTGGCAACTTATTAAAGTGCCATAGTCACGTTTGCTGCTGTGGAGGTTTCAAATTGACGTACGTTTCTAAGGAGGAAACAAATGAACAAATGCAAGATTTGCAGATGTTCAATTAAGAAATAAACGATGTTTCTTGTGGAAATATTAACACCGAGGAGACCTTAGGAGTACTCGAAAGCAGAACAGGCAAAAACATCTTTATATTTCTTTTATAAAATAACAATAATGTAAAAAAATGAATTCAAAGCAAAGGTTTTAATATTTCCTATAACATGTATTCATGATTGATTAGCAAATACTCTTTGATGGATTTAATTGATGAGGCTCGGCTATCAACCAATCAACGCAGGCGTTTTATTGTTTTTATTTTATATAATGCAAATTGAGTTGTCAGTTGTCATTCGGGGAAGAAAAGAATACGAACTTCATTTATTTCTTCCACTATTATATTAAAGTGAAATGAATAAGGAGTGTTTCGAGGAGAACACACTGAAAACAAAGATGGAAACCATTTTGACGTAATTTCTTATTATAGAATATAGGATTTCTAGATGAATTTTCAGGCTTGCGATAGCTAGTTCTTGTGGAAACGACCACATGTAGCGATCCTGACATTACGAATAATTTATCTATGTAAAAGTTTTATCGTAACTTGACATTCATCACTTGCAGACTATTAGAGAGGACATAAATTCGAGAGCTTAGATCAAATGGGTGAACTACAAATGTAAAAACAGCTGCCCATTTACTGAAATTCACTGTTTTTAATTAAAAAAAATTCTTGCATGGTAGCAACAGTTGGTGGTAGCATAACTAATCATTTGCCATTAAATAAGATTCGTTCAATTTCATCAACATTCTTTCTATCTTAGCAACCTCCAGTGTTTGGCTGCGACTCTACGTCTGCTACGATAAGGAGCTTCACAAATTCTAAAAGCAATCGCATTGAAACAGATAGCATCACCTTTCTCGAGAATTTTTACGGTATATTGGCAAATTTCTGATTTGAGCAAGCTCTTCACTCCTCTCGACACAGGTATGCCTGATTTAAACGAATTTTGCCATATATAAGTAGAGAAGTTTGTTCAAAGAACAAATTTTTTTAATTGTTTGGTTTCTGATGTCTGATAAAATGACTAACAAAGCGTTCAAAAATATACTGGCGATATTGCAAAAGTGATTCTTGTTGCTCTTATGATAGCTACTAAGTTCGTCTATTCTCACAGGATATGATTCGCACCGTTTTAAATGTCACTATTTTTAGACATGGGATTTCTTGAGAAAAACTGCTGTGATGTGAGTAATAACAGGTCCCTGTTAGTGTTATATATTTTCTATCAACCGAAACTTGTACTTAACCCTCTAAGGGCCATATGTAGTGAAATACATCATAATATAACTACTCCATGCGGTCTACGTTAAAGAACTCGAGATTGACAAACTTTTAGGCGGACACACATAATGTGTGTAGCATCGTTTTATGACTCTCTTGTGGCCAGATGTTTTCTCAATTAAGTTTCGTTTCGTAGTTATTGCTCGCAAGTAATGGTAAAGGCCTTTAAAGACAGTTTTTCATTACGGTCGTTTTGCCCACGAGTGTGAAATCTGTTTTATGGGAGCGTTTGCCGCCCGCTGGATTTTATTTCCATTATTTTTGCCAGAGATGGCGGGAAATTTAAGCAAAACATGGCGGCTCTAAATATTCGACGACGACTTTTTCTGCTAATTCTTTTAAAACGAGGATTAAGAAAACAAAAATACAAGAAAAGATTTTGGGTAAGGAATATATTACAAAAAAGGAAAGAAAAAGGAGAATACCATACTCTAGTTGAAGAAGCTATGCTATATGACAAAGAATTTTTTTTCGTTTGTTTCGTATGACTCTTTTCAAGTTTGAAGAATTACTGACCTTGGTTGCACCAAAAATAACACGCTGGCATGCAAGAAGAGAAGCTATTGGACCTGAAGAAAGGCTTTGCGTCACTTTAAAATATTTGGAGATGCCTTTAGAACTATTGCAGCAATTTACCGTTTAAGTGATACTGTTGTGGGACGAATTATAGGGGAGACTTGTAAAGCTTTGTGGAATGTTATGGCAGAAAATGGTTTTTTATCTGTTCCGAGTTCGTCTAAAGAATGGCTAGTTATAAGTCAAGACTTTGAGAGAAGGTGGAATTTCCCGAACTGCGTTGGAGCGATTGACGGTAAGCATATCATTATCTATTGTCCTTCACGAGCAGGATCTATGTTTTTCAACTACAAGAAGTTCCACAGTGTTGTCCTGATGGCATTTGTGAATGCAAAATATCAATTTACGATAGTTGATGTAGGCGACTATGGACGTATAAGTGACGGTAGCGTTTTTTCAAGTAGCCAACTTGGTATTGCTATGGAACAGAACAAATGAAACCTTCCACACTCAAGACTGCTACCTGGGACCAATATTAGTGTACCATATGTGTTTGTTGGAGACGTTGCTTTCCCTCTTAAAAATTATTTAATGAAACCCTATCCTAGGTAGAGATCCAGATCCCCGAGAGAATTGCAAATTACTGGTTCTCCCGTGCAAGAAGAATTGTAGAAAATGCCTTTGGCATTGCCACCTCATGATTCAGACTTTTCAGACGAGCAATTTCGGCAGATGTTGACGTTGCAGTGCAAGCTACAAAAGCAATTGTAGCTCTTCATAACTACCTTATGGCTGACAGTTGTATTCCAAGTAATCCATATTGTCCACCTGACTTTATTGACCCTGACTGCAATGGTTCACTTAGAGTAGGTGGGTGGAGAAGAGAGAATGTCAATAATGGTGGAATTCATGATGTAACACATAAATTATAATGTAATTGAGTAAAATTTGATGTTTTGCGAATCAATAATAATGTTCCGTCATCATAATGGAATGTTCAACAACAAAATGAGTTTTAACAGAAATTGTACAGGAAAAAAAATCGATTATGAAATTCCAGAATGGAATGTGATCAAGACAAAATGCACATTGCAAAGGACAAAATGCGCATTAGTAATTGAAAATATAGCTATTAATTTTGGGGAGATAAGTTTGTGATAGAGCTTTTTGTTATCTTATCTTTATAAAAACAAGTCCTGTCCAAGTTTCCACATCATTGCCTAGAAGTCAATCATCTTTAGAAAATGAGTTGATGTAACTAAATTTCTCACGCACAATTCACCACGACACGATGTCCTTTGGCGTAATTTTATTTATTATAATTATCCGACAGCCGATAAATTTATATATAAAGCCGTCAATGTGTCCGTGAAAATGCAAAGCCATGCGGCTTCAGTTTATCTTACCCGTCGGCTTCAGTTTATCTTACCAGGTGTATTTAGGGCGTGGATTCAAATACTTTCTTCTTATTAGTCTGTTTGCTCATCGAGGTCTCGTTGCTTTAAGGTCGATTTCTTTGAGCATAGTTTGAAAAGTCAAATAACGTACTAGCACGTTATACTTAGATTGCAAAAGCCTCCAAATAGTTCTATATCCAAGCATAATACTGCATTCATTGAGTTCTCGTAAAATATATTGCCTGATACGATCTTCATTAACAACATTCCAGCGTCAACGCAACACGTACAGTTTCAACTTATTTAAAAGAGCATTATTTGAATTAGAAATGCTATGGAATTTATGGAGTAAACTCAAAATAGTTTACTTCTGGTTGCATTTGTGTATTTCTGGTTGCATTTGTGTATGAAACCTTGTAAGGGGGTTCGTTTTACAGTCAATTAAGGAATAAAGTAATTGAACAGCATTCTTGATGTTTCTTATGTGGCCACAACATTTGACTTGTCAATTGACACAATGACTGTAGACAACGTACAAGGCCAAATTTAATGTCCTCTTAGGGGGTGCAACAAGGCCTAAAATGTATAGTGTTTTGCCTATTTTAATCAATAAGTAAGCTTTCTCCCACAGACAGGAATCGTTACTGGCATTGCATCTTATTAATCAAAGCTTAATGATATTTCTTTGTGGGTAGCCTGCTCACAGGCTAACCACAATGTTATAGTAAAAAATGTCCAGATGTCCAGATGCTACATGGCCATGATGCGTTATGGAAAATATTTGAAAGTATGAAATTAAGGTAATTCGTAAAATTTTACTGGCAATAGTTGAAATAAACATCTCAAAATGTCATACAGGTTTACTAAAAGTTAGTATAAATACTGAACAATCATCTACAATTCAAGACCTCCCGTAGGGTTAAAAATAGAAAGATAATTGTACAAAATTCTGTTGTGAAGATTTTACATTGAAGCGGAAAAAAATTAATTTTTTGTTAAAATTTTTGTTAAAATACTTACCAGGTTTATTGAATCATTGACTGAAGCCTGTCTCTCAAACAGACGTCCGACTTGTTTCAGTCGTTTAAGTCAGTCGTCCATAGAGCGCGAGGTAATAAACTAATAAGACGGACTTTTAGTTTGTGGTAATTGGAGACAAAATTATCATTTTTGTTGATAAATGATCTATAATATTTTGGTTATCATTACAAAAAATGACCGTCTGACTTCTCTTGTGATTTCTCATGTAGTTAATTGAATGTTGGTCATTTACGCTCTTCGCGTACCTATTTTTAATTTTCTAGTGGTTGCGCAGTCATCGGTAGAGTGTAATCAAAATGCAAAGGCTAACATAAAGTATTGAGACTCAATAATACTGTGACATGTGCTGCAATATTCGTTAGTTCAAAGGTGAAGGGGGCGCAAAATTGGCTTTGGCCCCCGCAGTCAAAATTGCACCACCACGCTACTGTTTATAATATAGGTTCTCGCATAATTTTGATTATAATTATCCAACAGCCGATAAATTTGAATATAAAGCCGTCAATTTGTCTGTGAAATGCAAAGCCATACGGCTTCAGTTTATCTTACCCGTCGGCTTCAGTTTATCTTATGAGGTGTATTTAGGGCGTGGATTCAAATACTTTCTTCTTACTAGTCTGTTTGCTCGTCGTGGTCTCGTTGCTTCAAGGTCGATTTCTTTGAGCATAGTTTGAATAGCCAAATAACGTACTAGCACGTTATACTTAGATTGCAAAAGCTTCCAAGTAGCTCTATGTACAAGCCTAATACCGCATTCATTGAGTTCTCGTAAAATATATTGTCTGATACGATCTTCATTAACAACATTCCAGCGTCAACGCAACACGTACAGTTTCAACTTATTTAAAAGAGCACTACTTGAATTAGAAATGCTTTGGAATTTATCGTGTAAACTCAAAATAGTTTACTTCTGGTTGCGTTCATGTATTTCTGTTTGTGTTTTGCTTCTCTGCATGCATAAAATAACCTTTTGTAAAGTTAAGTAATGGAAGCTGTTTTTTCTATGCAGTAAACGACCGTAGCATGTTGAAATTTAGCAAATATGGAAGGACGTTTGAAAACGTGATACTCTATCGTTAGAGATTAGACTTTAAATTGGTATTGGTGAAACATAGTGTGTCTTTGTTGTAGACTCGTAGTGCAACACTTTCTTACTAACCAATGCTAACTCAGGGTTACGTATTAGCAACAATGAGATGGATGTTAGTAACGTTAGTAACGTCAAATTTTGAAAAAGTAACAAATGTTTAATTTATGCACGCCGCATGATCAAGTACAAACGTGTAATGAATGAGTTAGTGGTCAAGAACTACTTGTATAAGAGTTGTATGCACTTCGTTTACCAGAAGTAATTTCAACTTGAAGGTGTAAAATGACCACGACAAACAACATGATACATGTGCCAATCCTTCAATCAAGGACGAAAATCCTAAAATGGACACCCCACTAAAATTGCAATGTCAACATAGTTTTAACTTTCAAAAACAAAAAGAAATGACTTTTCTGAAGTTCTTGACATGTTTAGAAGGTTCACTTTAGGGGTGGACATGGGAGGAAAAACTTTGCATAACATCAATATTTACTGAGAAAATTACTATGTACCATCTCAAGTCAAATAAAAAGTTTGCATAAACTGACCAATATTCTAGTGGTGCCACTCCATTGAGTTTTTCGTGCCACGCATATCTTATTACGCATGTGATTACCATATTGGCAGCCTTTAAATTTCATTGTGTGAAAAATAGGATTGACAATATGGCAAACGGCAGCCAGTAAACTAACAGCCTGTTCACATGAACCCGGTAACAGGGATTCAGCGAGATGTAAAATGATTTTAAGTCATTAAAAAGAGTTAAAGCTTTAAGCGCAAAAGAAGAATAGCATGGTTGTATTTTCTACATTAAGGACGCTGAATTTTTTTTGTAAATTATAATTGCGTGCAGTTGATGTTTGCCATGTATTTATAATTTACAATGGTTTATTCAATAACAAAGGTTTTTTATAATAAGAACTGACTTATGAAATGAAAATTCATTTAGAGTATAAAAAATTGTGTCGTAATCATTGACATTCAAA